AGCCCAGCCGGGCTCGTCACGCCCCCTATTGCGGGTAACAAATGCTCCGTGTCAAGGATGGATGACGGGTCACGAGTCCCAGCAGACGGCGAATACACGGGTATCACGCAGCGGGCAGAAGCGCTGCCGCCTCCGACCACGCCGCCAGGAGGGAGTTGCGAGCTTCGACCCATCGCTGGCAGCCCCAAGCCCGCCGCCATGCCGGAGGTGGAGGGCCCCGGCGAGCGAAGGTGGCGCGGATCTGGCGTGCAGGCACCGCTGGGCGGTCCGCCACCACCTCCGGTGATGGAGGCAGCGTGCAGGAGGTTGTAGGCGGTGGAGTGACGGGATATGGCCGTGGACAGAACACCCACCGGCGTTGTAGAACCGGCGGCAGCACCGATGGCCAGGTTGCCGGCCGCGGCGGCAGCCGCCGCCGCTGTGGCGCCCTCGTCAAGAAAGAGCGCCAGGGCGGCGGCGTCGCCGCGTATAAGCGCCACACGCACACCTACGAAAACAAGCAGCAACAACAACACAGCGACCACGAGGCGTAAGGCATCAAACGCCAAAGATGAAAGAATAGCCCCAACCCCCCCAAGCCCAAGCCCACCGGGCAATTATAAGTGGGGCAGCCCCTATCCCCTGCTCATCCACGCTCCCACCTCTCACACACCCGCCAGACCTTACCGGGTGTTATGTGCTTGCGCATGCAGCAGAATAGACCCACGTGGCGTGCCAGGGCCCGTACCAGCCCGTCCACGTCCTGAGCCGACATAATGGCCTCCACGGCGCCCATAAGGCATAGCACCTCGCGATCCTGCGGGCAGGGCAATCCTTGTCACAGTCGGGGAACCCCAGCTGCCATTTGGGATGTCGAGAGTAAGGAGGTCATTGCTGTGAAATGGTAGGCATGAAACAAAGGCTCGGCCCCGACTTGCAACAAGAAGTAGTGTTGGCCTGGGTAACCGCGATACCGCAATTCCCCAGTCCTCATCGCGCCCGTCCTGGGTCCGAGCGTCTTCCCTTTAGACCACCCCTGAGGTCCATAACCGAGTCCCCATCCCCGGCCGGCGCCACTCACGATCAGCAGCGTGCCAATGAAAGACGCCACCACAGACAGCTCCGCCACGCCCCGGCAGCGCCGTGACGTGGGCACCGCGCCAGTGATGTCCTCAGGCGGCGTGCAGTTGTCCACCACCTGGCCATCAAGGAGGAAAAAAGACTGATGTTGATGGCAGGGGAGGGATTATATGCAACAAAGTTAAATAGACAACTGTCGACGAGAACCGTGCAGGTAGGCGGGGCTGGACATTTGGGTAGCTGTGAGGTTAGGCAAGGATAGATGACAAGCAGCAACTACTGCCAGACGTGATGCGCGACCCAAGAAGCCTGGAGAGCTCCCCTCCAATTCTCCGGTCCGCTCCGTTCGTAACAGGTCGACTTACGGCAACGTGCTAGGGTTGTATGTGGGCCTTCGGCTCTTTGAGCCAAGGTGCTAAATTTGATGCCTTAGGTGACGTATTGGGGGGTAAGACGAACCACTGGCGATTGAAGCAGATACCAGAGATTACGGGGGCTGACACATTGGAGCCTTAAGGCCCATTAGGTCAAATTAAAAACGCAGTCACAAAGTAGGGATGGTTCCTAGGGTAGCCATGCAAGGTAGCCATGCACAGTAGCCCTGCAGCAACCCCGCTCAGTCCAGTCCACCTGCAGGGCGCCAATGATTGAGTCGCCACGCAGCAGAGGCACTGCCACAAAATCCGTCATGCCGCCTTGCACACGCATGGAATGCCAATCGGGGGGCAAAGCCCCTGCCGCTGGTGGGTGTTGTTGCTGTTGTTGCATCTGGTGCGGGTGCTGGCAGTGATGCTGACTGTGCTGCCGGTGCAGATGCTGATGCTGGCGTTGAAGGCTTTGCTGGTATTGCTCCTGCTGGAAGTTGCGGTCGGTGAGGTGGCCGCATGAGTCGTGTCGGTGCGGGTTAAACCCCCTCCCTGCGCCGTGAGACAGCATTGGGGCCTTACAGCTATGCTGTTGAACGAGATCGGGGCTCGCAGCAGGCGACGCATACGCTGGCACAGGTGCCGAGTGCGCCGTCGACAGCTGCGGCGCATTCTGCAAGGCGGCCATTCCACCCCAGACGCTGCCGCGCTGAGGCTCCTGCGTGCAGACAGGAAAAGTGCATGAAGCGACACTAATACACAAATGCTATCGTGTTCACTACCCTGGGGGGTGAATAACTCCACGCACCCGCTAACGGCCCCTCTTTACATGACTACGCCTCAAAGCCCACGTGCATGCAGCTTAGGCGAAGCCAGCTAAAGATTTGACAGCGCTTGCTCTGAAACGTGTGCTACGCCATTTACTGTTCAGGTGACGATGGCGACAGGAGCCAACTCGACCCCGAGAGGTCGTATCTGTGCAACAGGGAAAGAAGAAACCCCAAACCAAAGAACCAAGATCTACCGAGGCCCCTACGCCTGTTCAAGGCATCTCATGAGGCCGCGCGTACGAGCCGCAGTGGCGGCATGACAAGTGGCGGAATCACATGCCACAAACAAAGAAACTATCGCCGACGACCGAATCCTTTCGTTGTGTTTTCTTGTGTGTGCCGGGGGGGTAGCCTTGCTCACCCCGGTCTGGTACAGCCGCTGTAAAGCGGTCGGATTGGCGCCAGGCACCGCCATAGCTGGCAGCGGCATGCCCAGACGGATAGCTCCGCCGGCATCCCCATGGCACGCCAGCGCCGCGTGCGTCGCGCCCGAGTCGGACAGAAGGTGCACACTGTACGGCCGTGGCAGGAGCCAATGACAAGCACATAATTAGGGTTGCTGTCACAGTGCCGGCAGAGCCGAAGAGACAGGGTTGCGCAAAATGCTGATTTGCTGAATGGGAGGAGGTTTAGCAGGGATTTCCGCTTTCTTGTAGCTGGGTGGATGCCATAGCAAGGTGAACCGCGTCCTGCGCGGACGAGTGGCACGGCCCCATGCGGTACATTACTTAGACCTAAGTCTAAGTACCTGAGCGCGTACAACTCACCAAAGCTAGATAACACCACGCAAACTCCTTTTCTTCACAGACTGTCCACCACCGAACCAGGCTTTTGGGTACCTGGCTTGGAAACCACTCGGGAAACCCCCATGTGGCTTCGGCACACGGGCCAAGAGGTAACACAAAAGAAAAAACATCCCTAGTTGCCGGAACTCACCCAGCTTCGAAACCCAAATCACGAAATGGCGGTTCCAAAACCCAAATCAGCACCATCAGCCCTTCACCAATAACCCAGGTCTGCATAGGACCAACCTGAGGCTGTCCGCTCCCAATAGCTCAGCCGCCAGAGTGACCACCGTGTGCAGCGCCTCCAGCCAGTGGCCCCGAACACGGGCTAGATTGGACACCAAGGCCGCAAGCTGCAAGGGCGACAAAACAAAGACAAGCGGGCCCTGGCGAGACCCAGAAGCGGATGCAAATGCGGTGAGGACCACCGGCGGGACGCGGCCGTGGTCATGCGGTGGGAAAGTCCGAGCCCGCGAGGATCATCGACCAAGGGCCGGGCAGGGATACGGTGGTGCATGCGCCGATATGTGAGAAGCCCCAGAGGCCCCCCAACCAGGACAAAGTGCCCCTTCGCTCATGGCTCCGTAACCCTTCAGCAAAGCAATTACCCCCTTAAAATGCAATCAGCACGTCCATGCCGCTGTTACTATGACCTGCCAAACTGTGTGACCACGCACCAAATTCCACCCGCCACTACGCCAGCAGCGAAATCCTCAATCGTACCTCTTCTAATGGGAGTGGCCGCGGAATGGGGAGTGGCATGGAGTGGCATGTTGCCGGGCTGCATGCCCCGGGTGCCCCGCCAGCCTTCTGGCGAGCGGTTCCTGGCACAAGGGACACTGGTTGATTACTGCTGCTACCGCGGCTCCAGCGGGAGGGACTTGTGGGAGGGTTTTCCAGCGGGACCCCCACGGCGGTCGGTGTTCTTGCATCCCGGGCCTGAATGTGAGGCTGCTGCCCGGTCCTGGAAGAGGCCGTGGGTTGTGAACTGGCAGGCAGCGTGGACGGAGAAGGGAGCTGTGGGTCAGCCTGCTGGGTTTGGGCTTGTGAGTCGGGCTGGGACGTAGGCGCAGCGGCGGGCCTGCCGCTGGCACTGGCAGAAGCTGCTTGGGCGGCCGGCGCATCGTTACGGCTAACCCGATGTCGCTGCTGCAGAAGACTGCTGCCTGCCGTCGTCCGTTCAGCAGAGTCCTCCGTCGCATGGCCATCGGCAATGGAGCCGAGGGCGACCCAGTTGTCAACTGCTGGGGCGGAGGACCCAGGCCGTGCGGCACCCTGTAGCTTGAGTGTCAAGCTCTGGTGCGTTGCAACGGAATGTGAATTGAACAACAGCAGCGGGCTGCCAAGGCTTATACGGCGGGGAAATGAGCCGTCGACGGCTTGCCGATCGCCCTCGTCGTCACCCATAACCTGCACCACGCCGCCGCTCCCAGCGTGGCCATTCTGGTCGGGCTCAGCAGCCTCTGGTTGAGACGCTTTGACTGCGACTTCCAGTGATGGCGCAGACTCGCTCCGCCCAGCTGTGATAGGGCAAGCGCCCTGCACAGCTGCGATGCCATGTTTCTGAGATGATGCAGTTGTCGCACGGTTCTGCTTTGAGTAGGTTTGCCCGGACCTGGGGTCACGTTTATCACCGAAGCACCGGAGCACGAAAAACATCAGGAACTCCCGTCCTTTCAATCTCTACCCATAGAGACTCGTCATCTTATCACGCCATAGCAATACGGGGAAAAGGCCCCAGCGTGTATGAGCGACTAACACGGGCGGTTCGTTTTCATAGAAGAGCGTGTCGTTCAAGAGAAAGTATGACAAATTTAGACGCCAAGTGCATTCATTCAGCAACATCGGCCCCGATGTCCATCCATACTGGGCACTGTTTGCCGTACGCCAGTGAAAATTCATCCCTCAAAGTCAACAAAGTGCTAAGATTAGGGCTATCTAAGCCCCATTCCTAAATTTCTGCGGGCTATCTTTTATTTGTTCGAGTCATACCAACTTTAGGCTCTGACGACGAGGCAATGTCAGACGAGGCCCCTCAGGTAGAGACAGTGTCTCTTAAATGGAATGTTTAGCATTGGATGATTGTTTGGCATGGCATTGGACAAACTGAACCTCTAGAACTGAGGGCGCGCTGAGATCTTGGTGTGCTGTGTGTGTGTGTGCAGCAACCCGCCAACCCATTCGCGGCATTGGGTAGCTCTGGAGCCGCTTTTGGAGGCTCGGGCTCTGGGGCTTTCAGCTTCGGCGCACCCACGGCCGCCTTCGGTGCACCAGCGAAGCCCGTAGAGGGCGAGGACGGTGCAGAGGACGGCGATGAGGGCGGCGGTGCTGCGGAAGAGGAGTGCCAGGCAGAGTTTAAGCCTGTAGTTCAGCTTGAAGAGGTTGAGACAAAGTCTGGCGAGGAGGACGAGGATGCCCTTGTTGAGCTGTGAGTTAGGGGTCTTCTTCCGCGCCAGTTTCGTTAAGCGTCAGCGAGCGCGCGTGTGACATGCGATATCGAATTGTAGTAGGTGTATTGACACGTTTTTATTCTCGCTGCGCAGCAAATGCAAATTGTATCGCTTCGACAACGACCATCAGGAGTGGAAGGAGCGCGGCCTTGGGCTGATTAAGCTCCTACAGCACAAGGAGAATAAGAAGGTTCGCCTCCTGATGCGACAGGAGAAGACCCTGAAGATTCGTGCAAATCATATAGGTGCGGAACTTTACGTTGGTTGGCGGCGCATCTCAGTCGGAACACCGGAAGGGTTTTGGGCTTTGGGCACCCTGAGTATAACCGCAATGCTTCCTGACCCTCCATTTATCCTTGCATTCCTCCAAAGTAAACGGCTGGTGCTGGGCAAATTAGGATCACCTAACCTCGTCGTGGCCATACCCAACAACCCATCCGGTTCGCTTGTTGTCTTGTCTATCCACACACGGCTTTCCACTGACTGCGCGTATGTTTTTCGACTTCCGATCGAGACCCACCGCGTCCGCGGCAAAAGTCCCAAGGAGCTCTTTTATGATAGTTCGCTTGTCCGTGGAGCAAATTCTCTACTTCCCCCTGGTCCCCTTCAGTGATGCCCGGAACCAAACTTCAAGAGCACAGTGGAAGTGACAAGGCCTGGGTTTGGAGCGCCGTCGACTTCGCGGACGAAACGCAGAAGATTGAGCTATTTGCCGTGCGGTTTGGATCGGTCGAGAGTGAGTCATTGCTGTGAAGAGGGGTCGTAGGAAAAGCGCTTCTGGGACCTGTGATTCCATGCCGGCCGATCCCAGTATCAATTGGGCGGTTAAGCGTCGGATTACGGGTGCAGATGCAGTCGAGTGCGTAAGAGTGTATTTATGCACGCTCATGCCCAACGTCGTTGTACCGCGTGACAACATCCCGAACAGAAGCGTGGGCATGCACAGCGGAAATTGCTTACCTGTATTCGTTTTCAGGTGTCCAATCCTTAATGCGCAAGTACACACGAACCATCTAACCATGCAAATCATCCAACCCCTTTACTACTTTGGTCCGCAGAGGCCCAGGAGTTCAAGAAGAAGTTTGAGGAGAGTATGGAGATCAACGGCCGCATTCTCGGCGACGTCGCCGCGCTTCCGAAGGCCGATGACGACACCGCCGCCGCCGAAAAGGAGGCTGAGGAATTGGCAAAGGATGTGTCGGAGAAGGTCACGACGCAGGGCGAATGAGCTATAGGCGACGCAGGCGACTGTGTAATGACATGGATAGGGGGATATTAGTATGTAGCAGGACTTAGAGTAGCAGGTGCTGTCGGGCGCAGGTGCGGTTTATCTTCTTTTCGTGTTGGGCCACCAAGAGGCAGTAGGCTTCTGGGTGAGGTCGCAGGGAATTGCAGGCAGTGATGCATGAAGGGGGGACCTAAGGAGGCGACGTGAGGGGCAGCGCACGAGATAACTGGCGAGGACACCCATGCAGAAATCTTGCGGAAATCTGATCGATACACGTCTCAGGGCACTAGGACACTGGAAGTAGCATGCAAAACGGACTGTTCTTGCCACGGCCTATGACATCCACATGCTCGTGGAGCGCACGGACGCTAGGCGGGGCTGCCACAGAGTCGTTGTAAGGAGCGGAACCCAGTGTTCATCTGTGTTGGGCAAAAAAGTGTCTTGGGTCGAGTGTACCCTCTGAAAGGATGCATGAAGGTATTGTCAAAACGCGGCGCTCCTAGGTGTCTTGCCTGTCGGGCGCTGCTTTCGCGCGTCGATGGGACTTCAGGTCACCGGGAACTTGGTACTTAGGTTTTTTTAGTGTATCTGACATACCGACGAGCGAATTAGGAGACCTTCAAATCCTGCCTAGTGCACATAATTTTTCATATTGCAGGAAGGACTTGGTGGCCTCTGACGTTGGCATATGTAACTAAAACATCACGTGCAAAAAGTAATGATATGGCTCAGTTCTTTCACCGCACTGCATTCATAGCATCACTGTGTATGCAACTGTGATCAGAGCCTTTGCTGCGTAATAATAGTTACATAGACCAATCCTGCACTATTCCCACTAAATCTGACGTCATCATCTACCGTATCCAGTACAATTCGGACAAGAAGCATGTCTCAAGTATATGTACGTTTCTGCCAAATACCCCATGCGGAACACACTCTGTACACACGCGATAAGACATATTTATGCAAGACAGCCATCACCCCGGCGCAGCAGCTCCAGTTAGTTATGTGGTAAGCTTTTTACCTTACCCGAGGACCCCTTTTGACCTTCCCATCTCGTTCCCACGCTCTCCCTGTTTTGCCCCCAACTATTTAAATTACTTCCTGCCTATGCTGCATACAGCAATTTATTATTACGCTACCAGGGAAGTGGCCTAACGAACGCAGATTCACTTCTGTTGACACGAAGGTAAAATAGGTACACTACAACTACAGATCAATCCAGTCACAAGAAACCTAACAAAGCTCAGGATCGAGCGGGAGGGAGCCCTGCGGGGGCTTGCCCTCAACACTCTCAACCCCGGCCATCCCCGTTTGCGCAGCCCTCCATGTCAACATGCTGCATCATGCACACACAGACCGCAATCTATCGTGATGGAAAATCAGCTGTGACCTACCAGGCCCCTGACGGAGGCCTATGACATCACGAAGATCCAGCGCACACCGAAAAACAAACAGCAGCTATGTGACGCTGGAATGGCCAGCTAATCCAAAGCACGCACGCAGCTGTTCTGGAAGTAGCAGTCCTGGAAGCATTGTGGCTGCACTACCCCTGATGCTGTTGCCAGCATCACCGAGCAAACTCCCAGGTCGCCGCGCGACAGTTGAAAGAAAGCACCTCGCGCTCACAACACACAACAAGGAAAACTGCCATCAGCCGTTATCCCCACGGCACAACCAAGGCAATCGACAGTGCGTGTTGGTGGAAACAAGAACCAAAATTATTTCCCCTCATTCCCCCAGTTTCTTATTCTCGATCGCGGCTGCTCAAATCCAGCATGTAGGGCCGCCGCAGTATGAAGTACAAAACTGAACACCCAGACACATTGACATCGACAGCGTGCGTGTACGACGGCACTAAATGCCCATAACAATTGCAAAAGCACTTTCGCGACAGGAGAACATTCGTCCACATCCCAGAGCTTTGTTCTTGCGCTGGGGAACCGCTGCTGGAGCAGATGCGCACTGCGCACACGAATCATGAATGCAGGACACATGAGCTGGAGTAACCAGCACCGCACCATGCCACAACTGGCCGGATGGCCCCTCTTCCCAATAAACGGCGCACAAAAACAACCAAAAAACAAAATCGAAGGGAGCCATCCTTCACTTAGACGAAAGGCGGTGGCCCGTCTCCGTCCTAAACATTACCAACACAACCGACACGAAGATGCTATCGAAATCCGGCCCCATTTCCCACAACACTTCAATACGGCGCCGACCGACCATAGGCACCAAATTCCACGTCACCTGCTGCAACGCCGGGTAGTTCCCTTCCTCCGTGGTAGGAAGGCGCTACTCCGCAGGACCACTCCGCCGCAATCTGCACTGCATAAAAACAAACCTCCTCTAGCTTCTACCCCAAAAAACCCAAATCGCACGGGACATGTCTTTGATGAGAAATGAAAATACCGCAGACACCCAACCCGTGCCAAAAGACACAATGGGTCGAAGCCGCAACTCTCTCCGGATGTCGGCTCGTCAAGACGCGTCGTAAATACAGAAGATATCTCACTCTCCCTTCCTTGTCAGATTTGAAGTGCGGCAGCAATTGGGCCGGCCAAGGAAAGCACCTCGAAAGGCGCTTTATTCCGGACGTCGCGGACCGTCTGCGGGCACGAATCTGACAGCCAGAAGTACCGGAAGCCCTCCTGCGCACCGCCGCCCAGGTCCGCCCGGAACTTGACCCAGGACATGTTGGGGAAGACGCCGTGCGTGACAAAGGCGCTCACTGCACAGCAGGCAAAAGCGGCGGCGACATAGGCGGGGAGACGTAGGAGATAAGAAAAAGGGTCCGGATTTGGAGAGACTTCCGAGATGCAGAAAAGAGACTTCCGAGCATCCCATCTACCTAAAAGGGGATGTACAGCATGCAGCATGCACGCCGCCATGCAATCGGCACGTAGCACAGGTCGTGTTTAATCGACGAGGACGGGCCAGGCAGGTGCTGCAGCTGGCAGGCAGTTCCTGGGCGAGTGAAAGGTCGTAACGTGGAGCATATCCTACTACATAACCCCGTAACGATGCGCACGTCGGTCTTCGCTGTTCTAGCGACTTTGCATAAAAAAAGAAAAAGGGCGCAGAAAAACCACATGGGATTGTACGAAGCGTACGCTGCCCGCCAGAGTGGGGGATGTGCATGGAAAACGCACTGTCCAGCGAGCGACCCATGGGTCACAGTGTACGCTGACGCACCACGAGGGCCTAACTGCACTAAGCGGACGGCATAACGCCGCCTCGCCCTGTGCTACCCTCGTTTTCGTTTACCACCGGTGTAACAGCCTGAGAGCACGGTAGTGAGCACACAAAGGCCTGACTAACCAGGTGGCATGTACGTCAAGTGCTACGAGGATACGACACGCAGACACATCCCCGCATTCCCATGCAGTGCTCCATGCTCTACTACAGGAGACAACTGACTGGACAACTGAAACCAAATAATGGGCTGCGTGTTTGGGCTGAATTCCTCAAGCTTCCAGGTGTTTGTAGCTCCGGGATGAGTGCTGTCTTTCCGCGCCCAGACGACTCGCCGACCCGTGAGAGGCCTAGCGTATCTTGGTCAACTCCCCTCCGGGCCCCTTCCATCCAAGATTCCCTCTGCTCCTGACCTTATGTAGGGCCAAACCCCCCACAGGTAGCTGCGGGTTATCGGAAAGCTGCTACCTGCACCACGAAACTGACCAAGCCACGGCAGTCTACCCTTAGCACCGCCGCCGCCGTCCCCTCAGGCCTCTACCGGCCATGTCCGTACCGTGTTTTGCTCCGAGGGAAGCGAGCAGCGCGTGGCACTCTATGAGGGTCCCTCCGGATTGCACCAAATCGTCCACGATGACGACGTGACGGTCCTTTGGCTCGCCCTCCTTGAGCCGCACGATGCGCTTTGAGCCGTCGCGAACCTTTGTGCAGATTACCTGCAGGTGGAAGCGGGCCCGGGGGCAGAATGGGATTTCAAAGCGGTAAAATTTACGTTAGGGGAAGAAGTGTGAAAACGAAGGGGAGACGAAGGTTCCCCTAAAGGGGAAGAGATAACTCTAGTACCTTTAGAGGTCCTTAAACAAATCTGTAAACTAGAGTTGTCGGAGTGAATTAATATTTAGTATTGAGAAGACCTTGCTCAGAATAGGTTCCTGATCAGGTTGAAGCCTGGCGGGAACATGGATGTTCCGGGGAAGAAATAGCCGGATAGCTTTAGGGTGCCGGGACGAGCTGGACAAACTCTGGCCTTCAGCAGCTGTCAAGCAAACTAAAGTGGCTGGCGAGTACCGAGGAAAAGCATATTCTTAATCAGCTGTCTCGAACATGTCATATGTTAGAAACCAAATTCTTTTTATGCCGCCATCCATGCCTTCAAGCTGTTCCGACTCAGGAGGATAATGACTACGTCGTAGAAAATAGAAATGGCGGCTCACCTCCGGATAGCCCTCGCTCTTAAACTGATAATGAAAGCGTTTCCAGGCGCCCTCATCTGGATATGCAATCGTTATTAAATCCTTGTCCGGAAGCTGCCGGAGGCGTTCGAGTAGCAGCGGCACTCCCGACTCGAAAAGCGGCAGCACAGCGTCACCGAAGTAGAATCGCTCCTGTTTGGAAAGAGGAGCAGTTCATGGTACCACGTAACAATGGTGAAACGAGCTACAAGGAACGAGCACCACGAGTTTAGTCAAAAGCTGACGTCACGGACGGGAAATAGTGCAGCTAACAGACGGCGCAAGCGACCTGTGCTGCCATGCGTGCTCTATCGTGTTTTACCTGCAGTGCGTGGATGTCAAAGATGACAAGGCTCGTTGGACCCCCGCGTGACGGAGGCACGTTGGATAGCAAGCGAGCAAGGGTGTTGGCCGTAGCAATGTCGCCCTCAGTCTCCACCCGCTCCATCGTCCCCGTTGGAAAGAATGGAAGCACTAACGTGAAGGAGCTCACGAAAAGACGAGGTAGTGCGTAGATGACGGAAATTTGTTCAAAGATGACGGTAGGATTCGTGAAGGAAGCCAAGAACGCGACGTGGCGGTTGCGGATGCTGGTTGCATTCTCGACAAAGAGGTCAGGAAAGCCATCAGCGAACTTCCTGCACAGCCAAACGGCGGCGACGGTCACCAAAGTTCTCAAGCCGCCGCGTTCGCAGTCAACTTACTTCCACTTGATGCGGCCCAGCGTAATTGCGCCGCCAGCTTGGATTGCGACCTTTTGAGCAAGCTCCTCGGTGTCGGGAGTGTAGAACAGCACGCAGTCTTTCCGCAATCCCACAGGGATATGCGCTGTCTCTATGTTAGTGCTTATGCGGAAGTCCTCTCCCGTGCTCAAAGCGGGTGTAAGTGATTGAGCGGCCATTATGTTATTAATTGTATTATCTGACCGTTGCAATGTAGCTACATTTAACACAATACATTTACGAGCGCTTGGGCGCACTTGCAAAGGCGCAGCCTGGCGCTCCGAACGGCACCGTGACCCAGCCGAGGACTGGAGCCGGTTCGCCAGCATGTTTCAAGGAAGACACACTACAAGAGCTATACTTTTCTTATAAAATGCACTAGCAACTAGGTTCGCAGAATGAGGGGCTATTCGCGAAGCAGCTCCAAATAAGGCGCCTTTACAACGTTGCAAAGCGCAAATCGCAATAATGTTATAACACGCATGCCACATGGGTTACAGTGGTTACTTGGAGTATTATCTCGACCACGAAGTGAGACATCCTCTCACGTGTTTGCAGCGCGTGTAAGTACGGCGGGGCACGCCTAGAAGTTCAACCTCCACGTAGACATGGTGACCACGCTGAAACGGCATGGATGCAATATATACATTCCATACATATTAAGCTACGTGCTGCAAGACTTATTGTTCCGCTGATTACGATCTTTCGCTACGTCGTCTCGCCTAACATGCGGTACCTAAGCGCATCCTAGCGCTGCAATTGCGTCTCGCTCCTTGTACATAAGTTTATGGAATGGACTTTAAGAAAGCTTCTATGTAATGGACTTGCCGGAGTGGGCAGAAGGTGGACATCCCAAGAGAAACCACATGTTTCTCGTGGGCTACCCGACTCCTCATCTTGCGCACGTAACCCTCACATATATACATAACTGATATAGTGCTGATCTTTTGTAGGTCTAACAATTCCAGTTGTGGCGTCTGCATATTTCCCATCACCAATATTTCACACCTCGACAAGCCACTTGCATTGGAACCACGCACGTTGCTGCTGTGCTGTTAAAACCAATAGCGCTCGAAACCACTCGACGTTACAGCCGCGCTCCTAGCGCGGCCATCCCTCCCTCCCTCCCCGTCTGACCATTCCCTTGAATTACCCACAATTCCACAAGTCCGGTGGGCATTGCAACCACGACCTGCAGTTTCAGAGGCTCAAAATGGATAGACCGCGCAAAAGGAGGACGTACCTCACGTGGGACATGCGGCCACCCGCAGATCGACGGCCTACTGCTATCCGACCAGCAACAAGCAACCCCCAGTCGCAACCCGGTCCGAGATTGGCCCTCCGCAACCCACAAGCTTGTGCACCCTTTGGCTTTCGGCTGCTGAGGGGCCCTCACCTCATAATCTTAGACTCTGCTGCTCCGAAATACACCCAAGCTAGCTCCCATGCGCGTCCCTTTGCATTTCGGACATCGGCAGTGGGGGCCCACATGTTACTACTGGCCGGTACAACATCATGTAACAGCTTGCCTTGCCCTGTGTTCTTGAAAAGTTGGTTGTAATGCGAATGTAAATATGTAGGTATATCTGTATGTGTATATATGTGTATGCAGGTGCAATAGACAAACTGCACCTGCCCGTTTTTGGCTTAAGGGTTTTATGATTTGCGGGCCAAAAAAGGTTGCAGCCTGGCCAAAGGGTGTTTGTGTGTGATGTGTGTGTGTGTGTGTGTGTGTGTGCCTGTGTGTGTGTGTGCCTGTGTGTGTCACCTCAAGAAAGGACAATAAGGGGCCCTAGGTACCGAGGACAAAGGTCGGTTACGAGATTGCCGACGACCCGGGGATAGACTTACTAGCCCTTACTAGCCATCAACCGGTGGCCGCATGTCGCTTCGGCCGCATCAACGACCAACAGCGCCCGTGTGGTGGCCCAAACTTGTGAAGAGAACGAAGGCTCCACAGGATGCATGCTTCGTGTGAATAACGTTGCAGTAAAGTATCCAATGGCGCCCAGGACCACCGCAGATCTTGTAACGTGTCCCACCGGGTTACCAGTGCCGTACCGTCGCCGCGAATTGGAGGGGGGAGAGGGGAGTATGAGTTTTTGAAAATGATTAAATACCCTGCTCTACCTGTGTGAAGTGTGACCGGAATTCCACTGCCGCCGACGACGACGACGCTTTGGCCGCCGCCACTGGCTGTGGCGGCTTCATTTCTTCTTCCGCTACTCGCGCTGCCGCTGGCATTGCCGCTGCACCTGGACTTCATGGCGCGCAGGTAAAAAGGGAGGTTTGCATTGCTGGGCTGGTGGCCGCGCTGGCGGGCTCCGGGGCCCCGGCTTTCTTTCTGGTGCTTGATTCCGGGATTTCATCACCTTCAGGTGGCGATGGAGAGGGCGTTCTCCATGAGCTCTCCACGGGGTTTCTTATACGTGCCATGGGACCGCATACACGTCCCCGACCAGGCACGCGTACTGCTTACATGTAAAGCAAACCCACCCAGGGCTGCGCGCAACGGAGGTGTGGTAGCTGGCGACGGGCAGTCTACCGACATGACCTAGGACAAACGGGCGCGGCCTGGCGGCGTTTGTGGCCGCGCTGTAAGTAAGAAAATTCAACTACCAGTTTACACACACACACACACACACACACACACATATATATATGGGAAGCGCCACGTCACGCGTCAATCGGATTCTGGCTAATAAACCCGACGGAACTCAACGTGTCCGAATCAGGCAACCAATTCATGGCAAACATAAATTGGTTCGCGGCGCGGACGCCACCAGATGCCCCAGTCCTCTCTTTATTGTTATCGGGCGAGTCGGCAAGATACACCCACATTTCCATTTTGAAATATGACGTAGACCTTCACTCCCCTGCCCGCTATGGAGAGAGTCTTGGTGATACTGTTAGCGGCATGCAATCTTCGTCTAGCGGGCGTACCGGTGTGCACCCTGTTCGTCGTCACATAACTTACAGCTCAGCCCAATTCCCTCGTTGTACTGTTCCTGAGCGTCTGAAACAGTACCAAGGAAAATCACAATTTGCATATTGTGACTTTAGGTTCCCCCTGTGAGGCCTTGCACCGGTCCCAGTCCCATGACTGTTGCGTGCACGAAATAGCTCAAATTCAACCAACATCAAAACAACTTTAAAGCAAAAGCAATCCACTTCAAACCAAAATACAATCAGCTACAAAGCAAATACAAGCAACTTCACTCAATCCAAACCAAATCCAAACCAAATACAGTCAACATGGTGATTGACATTGTAAGTTGCCAAGATTCTTAACAAATAACATAGGTCAAAGTCTCCCTTATTTAGCGCGTTAGTCACGTAAGCGTAAATACCACAAAAATTTGTCTATCCGGCCAACGGCCCGTAACAACTAGCTTCCTTAAGCCACAATAAGCGCTTCCCCTTACCAAATCCAAACCAAAAATCAAATCCAAACCAAATTAATCAAATTCAATTCAATTCAATCCTATCCATTCCAATTCAATCCAGTTCAATCCAATCCAATCCAATCCAAATCCAACCAAATTGCAAACCAAATTCAACCAAATCGGTAGGACCCCATCTTGTATGCAGCTTAGCTATGACGCAGCCCGGACGCCATTTGGGAACGTCAAGGCACTTAAAGGTGGGCCACAGATCCAGGAGCAGCCACGCTAGACGCTACATATAGAGAGACGCGCTACATTCCGAGGAAAGGGACGCGGTGCTGCTGAACAGGTAGACAACAGGTGTTGGTAAGATGGTCCGAGGCACGGACCACTGTACGGCACGGTTACACGAAACCGGATTGTTCGGGAAGGCCATGACGGATCCAATGGTAGATGTGCAGAAAATCTTTCCGCAAACGCAGGCTTACCTCCGCAAACGCAGGCTTACCTTCCTCAACAGGACACCTCGCAACTCCCACTGCATGAATGGCTTTTGGGACAAATATTCGTTGGGTTTCGGAGTTTGTAGGTGCTTGGCTAAGCGTGCCGAGTCACCACCACTTGTGTGGGCAGTGCCAGCAAGTGGGCGAGTAAAGCATGGCTGCATTCAGAACAGTTGACCGCATTTGACCATGACAGATACGATAACATGCAGTGAGAGCAACAATAAGCTCCAATAGTGTAGGCAGAATGCCGGAACTATGAAGCTGTCAGCTGAAGTAACAAAATTCGAATTTTGGCAAGCCGTACGGCTGCCGTACATAGCTTAGCTTAGAGGCTATACTCGCTTCACTCCTGCCGCATCTAAGCTACAATCATGAGAATAGCATCAGATGTCAGTAGCGCAGATAAGGTCGCGGCATTCTTGTGTTATGAGGATTCGTCCGATGAATTCTGGAGGGGTTTTGGCGGTTTGTACTTACATTACAGCTTGAGGTCACAGAAATCTACGCTCGATTCTTTTCCAAAGACAGCGAAAGCTGCGCTTTCTACCCCAACTATAAACATGATAAAGCTCCATCCAGTACGAATCAACCATAAAAGCCGACATCGGAGCCCGATCGCGGGGTCCTTTGTCCGCTCTTTGCTCAGGGAGCGGCTAACCGGCAATTTTTTCATTTGCTGCGCTTGCCCGGAGCGCGTCATAGGTTGAGTGCGTGCCAGCTACACATTAATAACGCATTCTAGCTCACATTTTGGCTCATCAAGAGCGCTTGACGGAACCATTCAGCCACTCGAAACATGTATGCATGAACCGGCGGGATCGTTGTCACGAGCGAGCGTCACGTCTTCCGCATACAGCAGTCCTGGAAACCCCTGCCACCAGCCACTCTTCGTGAGTCTGGAGCCCACTGTAACAACCACGCACACACACCAGCGATGGGAGTTCTGCCTTGCGGCTTCCTGCACTCCTGCTCACCTACATTTTCCATTAGAACGCCGTAAACACATCGCTCGTACACAGTACTTCGCAGCAAATGCGGGAATAAAGTAGCTGGTGTCTGAACGTATGGCGCTGGGATGTCGTGACCACAATATCCTGCTCCACTTAGCTATGTTTTTATTCCGGCTTTTAGTTGTCACAATCATAGCAGCAGGTGCACCACCTTTGACTTGCGGCCAGGCTTTAAGCGCTCTCCGCTGCAATAGTACAAAAGATTTAATTGCAGCTTTTTATATGATAAATATTTCCACGATATGGGTACTTCAGGACATGACCATGAGCGAAGCCGATTGGTTGCCTTACGAGGTGCCGTTGCTGCTCCAGCGCAATGTCACCGTTTCTGGTGCGAACGCGAACCTTCTGAAGTGGCCCATTATCGACCTTGGTTTTGTCTCCGCCAAGGTATGCTACCCTGCCGGCTGGGAGTGTAACGATTGACGAATTGCGCGCGGTTGCTCTCGCGGCGATGTGTCCTCAAACAACAATCCCGTGTTACCTTTTTTGACAGATAAAACTTGCGACAAAAATCACATTGTCCTTTTCAAACGTGGTGATACGGCGTAGCCGTAAGGGCCCGCTCTTCCAGGTAAATACCCCTTCAGGTCTTCGCCCCCCATTCCATTCGCACCTTGGGCCATTTCAAGTGCGCTTCTTTGCTTCGTGGACGCTAAACTGCGTGCTCAACCCTGGCAATCATATTCCTTTTCAAAAGCATCCTTTATGATTATTACTTCGCCTTGCCAAGGAATACAAGATTGAAGGAAGCATTGTTTGCATTCAGTTAAACCCGGAGAAATGCCGAGAATGTTTATACCTAACCTTGTACGTCACCGCAAAGACGCGGTGCGCCCTTGTTCCGACAGTATCTCAACACGTCATTAACCACATTAGCCGATGAAAGCAAGACATCCGATGACGTCACGCATACCGAGCAAAATGCATATGGCGTTTTGTTTTTGGATAGCAGGCGGTTGTTACGGTTGGGTCATATTTCTGGACTTTTCGCTCGTCTTTTGTTGCCGCTCTGGAGCCCGGTAACGAACACAAATCCCTTACATAGTGTTAGCTGCTTCGGAAATCCCATTAATGCATCCGAAATCTCTTTTCGCCAATCGCAGTTTCTGCAAACTGGCGTCCGCTCCGGCATACGACTCCGGCTGGCGTTTTCCTTTTTGCAATATTTATTTTGTTGAAGCGCCAAAGTGCACTCCTAGGTAGAGGCTGCCATTAGCTCGCGCGCTTAGTTGTAGTAGTTAACAGTGATGTCTGACTGGCTCGGCCCAATAAACGCTAACTGTGGGCCTTGGTACACGGCCAAGCATACTAGCTTCAGCTAGCAGACAATTGAACCAGAACAAGACAAAAAATAAATTTGCTGGTTGTTGGGTCCATGACAAATTGTTTTTTAGCACTCTCGAGAGCGTCGGGCGGTCAGTCGGTGTAGACTCACAACCTTTGGGAGCGCGACTTCTCGCGCGAACGAACAAGCCGATCCCCAGAAATCCGAGACCACAGCGCTAAGCAATAATGTTAATGGCAGTCGGGGCAAGGCAGGAAACTAAAACCTCATATTGTAGAATATCATGACACAAGTCGAAGCTTGTAGTTGGCCCGCTGCGTGTGCCGCACCTGCCACCGCTTTGTTATAAAGTAAGCAAAATTAAAGCAAACAACTGCTCTCAATCGCAAATTCTGGCTTTGCGCAGGTAAAGAGCCCTGCCAAGCTTTCGCTTGTTGAGTAGTAACCTTCCGAGCGCTTGCATGCCGTACCGTCTTGTCGGGGCATCGCTGCGGAATGGAAACCCCTAGGTTTCTTTCCCCTCGTTTCGACCTATATTTCCCACACCGTCACCTATGTGGGCCTTATAATGCACCACAACGAGCTACACGGCATTTATTACAGACAGCACTGCATTTCCTCGGCTCACTGAGTTTGAATGAACACTCACTGAGCTTGAATGAACAGTTCATTCAATCACATGGTTCCACATATCGCACCACAACGCCGCTCTCCTTTCCAATGAGGATTGCCATGCAAGAGAAATAAGCGGAACGGACAGGCCTGGGGACATGCCTCCCAGATCCAGGAAGCCTTGTTTCGTTTAGAAACCCGGCGTCCGTGCCGTACTCTTAAAATTTGAAGAACACGCACTTCCCTCGAACCTGCTCGCCCGGCTTGCTGCAGCTGGTACTCCTGGTGCTGCTTATATAGACACCAATTGCTACTTCTGCTACTGCTGCTACTTCTGCTACTGCTGCTACTGCTACTACTGCTACTGCTACGGCTAACCAGATTTCCGCCCCTCCCTGGATAGGCCCCTGGTTTGGACTTGTTCGCCACGAACCAAGAGCTTGTCAACAACCCGAATCAGGATCTGGCACTGCCCAACCTGCGATTCCATGACGTGGCCTTCATCCAACGTACGGCAGTAACATCATGCGCGTTAGGAATAGACACCGCTTTCGACGGAACGGATAGAGGATGGTCAGAAACCGTTTCGACATGTGTGTCTTATGGAGAATAGTCTTAACTTCTCAGCGTTTCAATAAAAAGTTTGAGTAATAAATATGTCGACAAGCCACTAATTCGGTCAGCTTTAACAGGATTTCATCCATCCAGCAGTAGTTACAAACTACAACCGCGCGTATCAGCAATCGCCACACCCGTACCGCCTGCATGCCGTGTACGGCTAGCGTTGTAGTACGCTACACACACGACCCGCAGAGCCGGAGTGAGTCAGCTCCCAGGTTTCTTTTGTTCTTTTGTTCTGAAGAATCTCTAAAGCACAGCCGGCACACCGCAGTTTTTTCGCGCGTTCAGTTCCATTTTGATCCTCTGCCCCGGGCTGCTTGCCAGCTTTCTCCCCGATTCCTGCAAACACTCCGCAGACGGCTGTTTGACACCGGCCCTAGGACAAGATGTCACTGAAAGCATGCACCGACCGGCCTTCGTGCCCGGCAAGCAACGGATGACCAACAGCCTGGACCAGACCGGCTGCATCAACAGCAGTACTGCGCCGCCGATGCAGCGCTGCTGGCCTTTGGTATTTTCCTTCGATGACGTGGTCATGTACGGCCAAAACATCGCCAACTTTAACGCGGAATTAGCTGGTTATGTATTGTGGCTGGACAAAACGCCCGTACGGGTGAGAATCGAGGGGTATGGATATAGAGCAAGGCATCACGAGCCGTGTTGCATTTTCAGGTATAACTTTATCGGGAACAAGAATTGTCCACGTTCGGGGAGTGATTAAGGATGAAAGAAGAGCCGTGTCGCAGCCGGGGAAGCCTTGCGCGAGGGTTGTTTCCTGAATGGGTACTCTTACGTGCGTATAGAAATATATGTGTAACGGGATGTCGTACTTTCGTCATTTGCCGGGCCCGCCGTGCATGCCGTACGTATCTTTAGGCGGCGGGCCCGCCTTGTGCCGTCGCCAATGCCTTCCCCGTTGCCGACCACAAATCTGCTGTCGCAGTGTGTGGATGTCATGAGCGACGCCTGCGTGAAGCAGTACGATGTAATTGGTTGTTTTTACAAGTTGTATCCGTACACTCAAGATCCGCCACCAAGCAACGACGACGTCGGCGCCGCCGATGGCGGCCTTGGCGGGATTGCCGGCAGCGGCACTGGCACCGGTGGCGCTGGCGGCGACGGCGGCCGCAGGCAGGGCCAGCGTCCTGTGATTGCCGGTACACTTGGCGGCGTGTTTGGAGGTGCGGACGGCACAGTGCTTTTCTGGACTTGTGTACGCCATTGTACGGCGCCTGGAGTGCAATGCCGTGAGGCTTCTTTGCCGACCCATCATTCTATCGCCGACCCACCCCCCAGAATGTGCAACGTCGCTCCGCATTAGTTAACTTCTTGAATGACAGCCATAGCAACGGTAATAAAGCAAAAGCAAACGGCAAACACAGAAAGCGCCTCAGTGCCGGCGCTGTCTTGTCTACCCCTAATGGTTTCCCACCTCCCTGCGCAACTGCCGAACTCCTCCTGCCTAACTCTCAGGCCTGGCGCTCCTTGGAGGTTTGCTCGGTGCCGCATTGGTCGGTTTAAGACGACGGAGGCAGGCGCGCCAGCAACGTCGCGAAGCCTCGTCCAAACTCGACGACGCAGCCTTTTCCCGGGCCTCAGACTCGGGAAATGGAAATAGGGGTAGGGATCCTCATCCTCATCCTCATCTTCAACATCTTGACGGTGGCCTCCAAGCCAATGGATTGGCAAACGCCGCATCGTTGTCGTCTGCCAACGTCGTCGAGGTGTCAGCATGCAAAAAAATAGCAGAGGGACCGACCCACGGGTCACAGAGACGGCCATCTCTTCCCAATCGTATGGCACTCGCAAAAACCCGTTATGCCGCCCCAGTGACGCCACTTACCCCGCCCAAGCCCGGCGTAAACCTGCGTCTCGACCTAGGCGGCGGTGAGCTGGAGCTGCTACCTGGAGTCATCGGAAAGGGCACATTCGGTCGTGTCGTACCCGGACGGTACGGCGGCCAGCCAGTGGCGGTCAAACTACTCGACCATGGACTTCTGCCCGCAACGACCCAGCCGCGGTCAAAAATGGGACAACAGAGGAATCTGCGGAAGGTACGGCACCAGGAGCACGGACCAGTCGCCCGATGCGGCGCGCCGCCGCCGCCACCGCCGCAGGAGCAGCCGCCGGCGGAGGCGGCTTTACTCGTGGCTGCGTTAGCCGTAATGGCGAAGTGGGAGCCCTCGTTGCCGTCAACACTTCGAGGTCATCTTGTCCAGGGTACGACAACTGCTCCTCAGTGCGCGAATGAAACTCTTTCGCTATCAGCGATTAGACCACTGGCGGAGCAGCGGGCTGCGCCACTGCTGCCGATGGTACCGCCGACGTCAATGCCTGTCGCCGCTGCCGGCGGAAGCGGCAACAACCGGGGTATTGGCGGCGGCAACGCGCCAACAGCGGCTGCGGCTGCGGGACACGGTTCTTATCGCCAAGCTGTCGTACTGGAAAATACGGAATCGAGCATGGCGGACCACATTCAGAGCAGCCCGCAGGCGCCCTCAGACAGGAGCGGCGGTTGCGACCCTCGGGACGGCGTTGCAAAGCCACGGCCTAACGGCGGCGGGGGGGATTGCGGTGGCGGTCATGGCGTTGCCGCTGGTGGCGCTGGCGGCGACGGCGGCGGTTGCGGTGTCGCCGCTGGGGGATGCCGATGTCATGAAGTGAGCTCCCGGGGAGGCCACAACGGCACAACAGCCGCCGCTGCCGCCGCCGCCGCCGCCGCTGAGCCCACCGCAATGAAGGCGGTTCCCGCCGACCCTCGCCACCTCGCTTTCCTGCAAGAGGCGGAGGTCATGGCCCGAATGCAACATCCAAATATCGTACGGCTGCTGGCGGCGAATACGACGTGAGTTGGGCTTGGGGTTTGACTGGACACCGCCTCAGTTCGCCTCAGCCGTCGGTACGTATATCCATCTCGTAATCTAAATCGCGGGGATGAGCGCTACGCGGTGGGGCGCGTGTGTGTGTGCGTGTGTGTGTGTGGGGGGGGGGGGGGCCGCTGCCTCGCAAGAAGCAGTGGCAAGGACGGGTACTTTTGCTGTCAGTATCTATTGGTGGTCAGGGCGACGGATCCTACCTCCATTTTCCAGCCCTGGCCATGTGTACCGCTACCCATGCTTATTTAGGCAATCCTCTCAAAATCTTGTCCTTATTGCAAAGCCTGGCGACCGGGAGCCATGTACGACGCACGGCGCCGTGAGGGGACCCGGGGATCATCAGCACGCGCTGATCGGTTGTCACGCTCGGTGGTTCTTATGTACGACTGGTGTTGCTTTGCTGATGATTAAGTTTACACATTGCCCTGTCTAACGTACCCTGACTAACTACCTGGCTGCCGTACAAAACGTACACAGGCCTCCCAAAATGTGTCTGGTCATGGAGCTCATGGAAACCTCCCTGGAGCGGCTTATGTACGGCAACGGCGGTGACGGTCCCGGCGAGCTCATGCCACTTGACAAGGTATGGCAGTGCTTGGGGACTGCAACCGTACGGACGATAACTGCCAGCTCCTGGGTGCTGTATGATATTCTCTTTGGTCCCCGTCCCAGCCGATAACCCGCCTAAAACCCCAAAGTCCAAACCCAATACGGACGCACAGACGCCACCCACGGCTCAGATCGTAGAAACACACACACACACACACACACACACACACACACACACACACCCCTCCCCCCTTTCCCCCTGTGTCAGGTCCTCCACATCGGCCTTCAGGTAGCGGCGGGTTTGGAGTACCTGCATCCCACCATCGTACACCGAGGTACGGATATACGGCATACATTATCCGTACTGTACTGTATGGTGCGTGGACGAATGTAAATGTAATTAAATGACGGTGAAAGTAAATGGTGCCAATCCCTTTTTTTGTCACTTGACCTCACCTTACCTCACCTCACCCAGCTCGATTTGACCCCTGCACCGGTTTCTGTTGGCTCTCCTGCCGTACAGACCTCAAGCCAGCCAACGTGCTGATTTCAAACGCGGCCAGCCCTACCCCCATCGTCAAGCTGGCGGTAAGCTGCCACTGGTCATAGGAGTGCGACCCGTGGGTCGGTGCGACCTGTGGATCGGTGAAATCGTCATTCGGCCATACGTCGTGCTACGTATGTGCTGAAGTGCTTCTCGGTCATGATGCGCCTGTGACGTGTTTTGGGGTTTTAGGGTTCTATGGGTCGGTCCCTCTGCAGGAGAACGTTGCCACGTAACCCCCTCCCCCCCTGTGGATGTAGGTGGGCCCCGGGGGGTCTGGTGGATCAAATCAGCAGAGTTTTCGCCCCGGCGCTGTGCTCCGATCCCACTCCTTTGTAACTGATTGGTTTAATGCAGCCCCGCTGTGCTGCTGATTTGGACCGAAACGAACAGTCCCGCCATCCGCGTTCTCACCCTGAGCCCCTCTTCCTGCTCGTCCCACAGCGTTCCCCAACGTTTCAAGCCCGGATGCGAGATGGCATCTCCCGCGGCTACCCCGTGTCTATCTGGCCCCTTGGCAATGCCCTCCCCCTCCTCCCCCTCCTCCTCCTCCGCTAATCCTTCCTCCTCCTCCTCCTCCTCATCGTCACCATCCTCAGCATCCAGCACCTCCACCCATTCCTCCTGCTGCACCTCCTCCTCCCCCTGCTCCCTCACCTCCTCCTCCTTCTCCTCTCCCAGCACCGCCTTCTGTCGGCGTCTACACTTAACCTTCTTCTTTTGTTCGCTTTCAGCTCTCTCCCCTGACAGTGACCTCCCAGAGCTCCTAGGAACGTCTTAACTTCATGAACCTGTGCTTGCTCACACTCACCTACCTACCTACCCAACCGCCCAACGACCGAACCAACCGCCCACCTAGGATTTTGGGCTTTCACGACTGCAGACCTCAGTCATCGTTACGGAGAATGTGGGGGTTGGCACGGTGAGGGGGTGCATCCGGTGGTCGACGTGGGGAGAAAGAGAGGGAAGTAGGTTGGGGGCGAAGGTTGTTAGAAAGGCTGTCAGGCTCCGAAGGCGGCGTGTGTGTGTATGTGTGTGCATGTGTATGTATGTGTGTATGTGTGTATGTATGTGTGTATGTATGTGTGTATGTATGTGTGTATGTATGTATGTGTGTATGTATATGTGTGTGTACACACACACATACCCACACATACCCACACACACTCCACACACACCCGCGCACCGCAGGTGGGCTACATGTGTGTATGTGTGTATGTATGTGTGTATGTGTGTATGTATGTGTGTATGTATGTGTGTATGTATGTGTGTATGTATGTGTGTATGTATGTATATGTGTGTGTACACACACATACCCACACATACCCACACACACTCCACACACACCCGCGCACCGCAGGTGGGCTACATGGCGCCTGAGACGTTTAGTGAGACAAACTGCGTCGTTACGGATCGAATGGTGCGTGGTGCCTAATTGCTTTCGAACTTTGGGGGGCTTTTCAAAGGTGGCCAGGCTAGGAGGGGAGACAGCCTCCGCGGCAGAGAAGATTAACCGAATTAACAGCAGGCCAGGGGCGCTCTCTCGGAGATAAGCACCAACGTATATGATCCCTGTTTCAACGTGGACACAGCTTGTGGACGAGTTACCTGACCATTGAAGAGGTGATCTTGATGAAATGGATGGTGGTTAGCTGGTTGCACGTCCCGAGCGTTGTTTTAGTATAATTGCTGCTTTGATTGGGGAGGCGGGACGCTACTGCTGCTGCTGCTGCTGCAGATGATGATGATGATGAGGAGGAGGAGGATATTGCTGTTGCATGGTATTGCTGCTAGTGCTTACTGCTACTGTTTCTGCTTCAGCAAATCTGTTTTAACCTCGGCCCGCATTCAGGACGTTTTCGCGCTGGGCATGATTCTCTGGGAGATGCTGGCGGGCGTACGGCCCTGGCGGGGTTTGAATCTCATTCAGGTCGCCGTGGCAGTGGCGCTGATGCACCAGCGGCCCCCCCTGGAGGCCTTGGCTCCCGAGCGCTGTCCGCGGAAGCTGAGAAACCTCATCGAGGGCTGTTGGGACAAGGTTCCGGAGCGTCGACCCGCCGCTGCGGAAGTGGTTAAGGAGCTGCTGCTGATACGGCTGTTGCTGCAAAAGGGCGATGCAAAGAAGGAGGGGGGGGCAACAACACAGGAGTGACAGCGACAGCACCAAGGTGCAACCCGGGGAAGGGGAAGGGGAAGGGGAAGGGGAAGGGGAAGGGGAAGGGGAAGGGAGGGGGAAGCGCAACCCAACCGCTTGCCATCAATGTTTCCTATTCATTTTAGGGGAGGCCGAATTTACTTTGAACTACGGATGGAATGATTCTACTTGCCGCCATATGGATATCCTATATACCTTTGTAAAAGGCGAGGCGCTATGGTGATAAATTCCCGTAGAACACAGGGACAGGCCCTTGAGCACAGCCGCCGGTTATAGGTCCTGATGATGCGGTGAACGGTGACCTCAAAATGGGGAAGCGAAGGAGTGACGACTTCCGTACGATTACCACCCAGAAGCGGAAGAGTGGGACGGATACGGGTTCGACGGGCGTAACTGGCGCAGAACCCAGATTTCAGCACCCCGCGCGTTACAGGACCCTCTCGACTTCACAACAGATCTGCTGTCGCCGGAGGCCATTGGAGTTGCCAGTCCAAGTGCCGCCTTCACACTGCCGCCCTTTTCCCTACACACTTTTGCCTGCTCGTGGCCGGTTCGCGCCACCTTCTCCCCACTCAGGACAGGCTACCGACGTCGTCTCGCGTTCAGCTTTCAGGACAAAGGACGGGCGCTGGAGGCACCTCCAGGGGCAGAGGAGGCGCTCTTGCTGGTAGGCGAGGGCTACAGCGGTTACGGCGCTGACATGGCGGCCGCTGCCGTAGTACGGTTGCACCTACCGCTGGCTTCCCAGAGGGGTATATAGGGGTGATGATAGCGCCGACGATGGCTGTGGCGGCGGTGGTCACGCAGTTTGGGCTATATCACTGCGAATAAGTTTTCTGTACGGCTGTGCAAGTACGACAGCGCACGTTAATGAATGCTTTAGGTCGCCGTGAACGCTGTTTGTGAGGGCCTTAACGTCAAATGAGGAATGTTATGTGTTATGAGTGTTATGAAGAAACGGAACTGAGATTGAAGTTGAAAGTACCGTACATGTGTTTGTGTGTTGTAAACATGATGTGAGTATGTCTGTGTGCACGCGTTTGGGCAAATTTATGTGCAAATGTGTGTGCAAATGTGTGTGTGCATGTGTGTATATATACATTTACCCACTGCGTGGGAATCCGTGGGGTCTTACTTGTCACCATTTCCTCTTTACACCATTCCTTTGCGCTTCCAGACAAATAAAATAACTCACTCCTTGGAAAAGGTTCGATTCCCAGGGCAGGCGCTGTTACCTTTGCTACGTTGCCTTACGAGGTGCCGTTGCTGCTCCAGCGCAATGTCACCGTTTCTGGTGCGAACGCGAACCTTCTTAAGTGGCCCATTATCGACCTTGGTTTTGTCTCCGCCAAGGTATGCTACCCTGCCGGCTGGGAGTGTAACGATTTACGAATTGCGCGCGGTTGCTCTCGCGGCGATATGTCCTCAAACAACAATCCCGTGCTACCTTTTGACAGATAAAACAGATAAAACAAAAGTCACATTGTCCTTTACAAACGCCGGGCGCCATCACCACCACCACGTAAAAGCACGAGCAGGAAACACGCCTCTCTCCCTCCCTAGTCTCCATCTCAATGTCCCTCAGTGTCTCTCATTCACTTCACAGCCGCCATCCTACGTCGCTACCGCCGCCGCCGCCGCCTCGTTGCATGCGGCCAGCACCCGGTCGCAGTAGTGCTTAGAGCGGAAGCGGTCGCGCACCTTGCCCACCTCCGCCGCCGTCACGGACGGCTTGACGGCGGCCGCCGCCAGCAACACGCTGCACGCCGCCTCCTGCGCAGTGTGTGCGTGTGCGTATGTGCGTGCGTGCGTGTGAAGGCTACCATATCGATCCGGGCCTGACGCTGTTTCAAGGGCCACCTGACCGTAACCTAACCGTGTGGTGTGGACGTGTTTTTTTTTGTGTGAGAAAAGATAAGATGGAGAGAGAGAGGGAGAGGGGGAGAAAAAGAGAGAGGGAGAGAGAAAGAGGGAGAGGAGATAGGCCAAGAGGGAGAAGAGGAGAGGTAACGAACTGAGCGGGTGCGTGAGGACTGAGGAAAGGTTAGGAGTGGCATTCACTTACATTATAAATCAAACACTGATGCCCACCCCCTGCCAGTTGCTCGCACCTGCACCGCGGAGTCCCCGTCATCCATGTGAATGACGACCCCCGCTATCAGATAGCCGCTGTTGGTGTCGCAGTAGGCGGGGCCGGAGGAGCTGACCAGGGCGCGCAGTGCGCCACACGCCGCCACTCTCACAGCGTTGTGTGCGTCATCCAGTCGTTTGTGTAGCTCGGGGTAGAGGGCGCGACGGGAGACATCCGAAAGCTGTGGACCCACCATCTGTATGTATGTATATACGTATGTACATATGTTTGTTTGTTTGTATGTATGTATACATGTATACATGTATGTCTGTATGTATGCACTTGTGGTGAAGCGATGAATGAGGTTGAGGGGTGGATTGGGTTGAGGCGCAGAGTGAAGGGAAAGGGCAGAGTGGAAGCGTGTATGTGTATGTGTATGTGTGACCACCTGTATGACAATCGGAAGGAGAAAACTGAGCGCGCACATGTCCACGCGTCGCGTCCGTTTCTTCTTCTTCCTGTCCTTCTCCCCTTCCTGTTCTTTCCCTCCATTACTTTTCCCTTTCCAGAGCGCACCTCCAACAGTTTCTCCATTACATAGCAAGCCGCCAACCGCATGTCAGTGTACCAGTCCTCGTCCAACGCGCTGAACAGCATGGACAGTAAACCGCTGCCGGCGGCGGCGGCCGCGGCGGCAGACCCCGTCGCCGCCGCTGCCGCAGATGCCATACTGCAGGCAGTTGCGGCGGTGGCGGTGGCGGCAACGGCGGCGGCGGGGCTCTCAACAGCCGCCAGGACGTGCTCGGGCAGCGGCAAGCGCTTTCCCAACAGTGTCGCCAGTGCGGTGACGGCGGCATAGCGTACGGCAGCGGCAGTCTTGCCGGCTTGCCACACCAGCGGCGGCATGAGCACCTCCGTGATGAGCGCCTGTACGGCAGCGTACGGCAGCGGCGGCGGCCGCGGTCGCGAAACTTGTGCAACATGAAAACACTGCAGCAGCATACTAGAACATCATTAAAGAACTGCCGGGTGCTCTGCAGGAATGTGTGTGAACCGACCATTACTGTGCCGTTGGGCAATTGTACGTTAGAACTCACCCACCCATCCACCCGGGGCGGCATATCTGTTAAAAGATAACGCAGGTGCCCTAAGATGAGCTCAACGAGAACAGAAACCTCGTGTAGAACTAAAGGGTGAAAGCTTCTTTGATTTTGATTTTCAGTATGAATACAAACTGTGAAAGCATGGCCTATTGATCCTTTAGCCTTTCGGAATTCGAAGCTAGAGGTGTCAGAAAAATTACCACAGGGGTAACTATCCACCCACCCACCCGCCCGCCCAGATATTGATGGTAGTTCCAGACGATGAGAGCCTTGCGGGGGGAAGGAGGGGAAGAGGGACGTGCGCGGGCGGGCGTTTGCGAGGTCGTGCGTCGGACCGCACAGTCAGCAGTCAACAAGTTCATCCTGACGTGTCGTACCTGGCCGCCGCCGGTCGCCAGCGCCAGGCCACGCTCCGGGTCTTCCAATACAGAGTCCAGCAACTGTAGCAACGCAAGCCGCAGCGTCGCCTCGCGCTCCCTGTCGCCTACCAGAGGCCGTAGCGCCGAAACCAGCGCCGGCGCCAACCGCTGTAGCGTCTGCGGTGACGCCGTCAGCAGCAATGCCCGCAGGATGCATTGCCAGGAGGCGTCGCCGCCGCGGGGCCGCCAGCCCAGGCGTTTCAGTGCCGGTACGGCAGCGTCAGAGGCCGCCGCCGTCGCGGCTGCTTCGTCCCCAAATAGTAAGGATACCAGGGCATCGAAGTGGAGGTCCACCAGCGACGCCGCGCCGTCGGCAGCAGCGGCGCTGCCGTTACAGTTGTCGTGACCGCAGGTCGCCGTCGCCAAAGAAGCCATTGTGTTCAATACAGCGACCGCAGCAGCCGGCGGCGCCCGTGCGGCGTCTGTTGCCGCCGGTGACGGCGGCGTCGGCGTCGCCGCCGCAAGCTCACTGCCGTACAGTTGCAACAGCAAAACGTGCAACGACAGCGCCACAGGGGCACACGCGCCGCCGCCCAGTGCCAGCGTGTTCACCACCACCGCCCGCAACTGTTGCCGTACACCTGAATGCTCCGCCGCTGCCGTCAGCATCGACTCATCCGCCAGCACCGCAGCCAGGCGCGCCAGCAACGGCGGCGGCAGCTCCCGTCGGGCACGTCCCGCCGCGTACAACAGACCCGACAGCACCACCAACGTGTGGGTGCGCTGCGACAACGACAGGCCAACGGCGGCGGCGCCGGCCGGCGCCGGCGCCGCGGTCGTACCGCCGCCACCGCCAGGCGGTCCCGACAGTATATCCAGAATCCTGGGCAGCCAGTCCTCAGGCGCCGCGTGGGCTCCAAGCACGTGCACAGCAGCCATCACGTGGCTCGCCACCTCGAGCTCATCGTCGGCGATGGCGCTGCAGGGATGGACATTGCGGGGGGGAGAAAGACGAACCACGAACGAGTGAAGCTGCTGCCAGGGCAAGACATTGGGGGGGGGAAGACTTCGTAGTACACAAACGAGAGACACTGATGCCAAGGATAGACTGATACGCCACAAGGGTGAGAAAGAGGGGAAAGAAGGGCGAGAGGGAGGGAGCCGTGTCGAGGTATGGCGAGAAGCAGGATGTCAAGGTTGAACCAGGTCGGGATGGCCTGACCCGCGTGTAAGGCAGTCAACAGGGACAGGGACAGGGAGGGAGGGAAAGACGAACCACAAACGAGGGAGGGAGGGAGGGTGGATGGAAATTCGGGGTAGGCGGAGAGGGCCCCTTGAGGTGTGGTCTGGTGTTGTGATGTGTCTGGAGATAGGGAGGCGGATGGAGGAGGATCCGCACCCGCCAGCCTCCAACTACCACCTTTCTACACCCCTCCCAGCGCCCCCGGCCAGATCCCCATTCCAGTGCACTCTTGTCCACCCGGTGCTTGTCCACTTGCACACTGACTCCCACAACCTGCACAGTGCCGGCAGCAGCAACTTCAGGTGGCGAGACGCGCCATCCTCCGCCAGCACCAGCGTCGTGTGCAGAGCACGCGCCGCCGCAACACGAAGCGCCGACGTCCACTCGCCCAGCTGCCGTACTAGCTGCGGCAGGTGCTGCGCCAGCAGCGTGCGCACCATGGCACGGCAGCCGGCTCCAGGCCGTCCTTGGTACGGCGGACCCAACCGACAGGCCTCTACCCGCAACGCCATAGCGGCGTCCTCGTCCTCTGCGCCGCCCCTCGCCCTCGCCCTCGCCGCCGCCGCCGCCGCCGCCGTCCGGCCCGAGGGCACCGGCTCCCCTGTGGAGCTCCCTTCTGCGGGGCCGCTGCCGTCGCCGCCGGCTCCGCCACGCTCCTCCGAAGCCGCTGCCGCTGCGCCGCCAACCGGTAACAGTGGTCCCGCCGCCGCCGCCGCTGAGACCGCTGTGACGGCAACCGCGGCGTCCACGGAAGTCAGGCTCCCGCCCGGCTGCTCCGGTGATGGTTGTACGACCACGGCAGGGTCCGTAAGCTCCTGGACCCTGGGGACTGAGGTTTCGGGAGCGGCGGTGGCAACAACGTCACCTCCGTAGGCGGTTGCAGCAGCGGCCCACGCCTCACCCACGCCTTCCACTAACCGCAGCGCGAGGTCCGCAGTCGTCGGGTGGGGGTCCGTAATGCCTATGATCAGCAGCGGCAGCAGCGACGCCGCGTACGCCTGGGGCGGCAGGTGGCCCGACCTCGCGGCCTGCGGTGCCCGCGCTGCCGCCACGGCACCGCCGGTTGCGGTTGCGTCCTCACTTTTGACAGCGGCGTCGCCTGCTGTTGCTGCTGCTACTGCTGATGTAGCAACATCGGCGGCGCCGCTGGCGCGGTATCCCATCCAGTGCGCGAGAGCAGTGAAGGCGGCTTCGCGAACGGGTTGCGCCCGGTCATGACCCACGGGTCGTAGCGCGGTCGCAACGGTGCCTTCCACCAACGCCATTGGCGCACCCGCCGCCACTAGCGCGTCCAAAGCCTGGATGGACGAGAGTCGTACACGACTGTGCTGGTGCTGCAGGTTTGGTGCCAGCGAGTTTATTAGCCGCTCCATCTCAGGTGCCAACGAATCAAATGGAACGCGTGCGGCGGCAGTTTCAATGGCCGTACAGCCTGCCTTTTTGATGTCCGGAAAGCCGTCCTCTAGCGAGCGGCAAACGACGGCAGCCAGGTCCGGGACGAAGCGTGCGAGCTGCATCGGCGGCGCCGCCGCCAGCAGCTGCACCGTCAGCTGCGCTATCTGTAGCCGGACCTCCTCTGCGGGTTCTTGTACGGGCAGTGCGCCGAAGCGGCGCGCCAGCTCCGGAACCAGCTCCGGGAGCATGGGGCTTACGTCCTCTACCTGGTGGCTGCCGTCCAAGAGTACACCAAGAGCAACGGTACGGCAACGCTCTACCGAATCCGACAGCATGGCCACGAGAGGGCGAAGCAGCGGGCCGCATAATAGCTCCTGAAGCTGTATGGGGGAGGCTTTGGGTGTGGAAGCATCGCCGGCGAATAGCTTGGTTCGCAGCGCGGTGGCTGCCGTGCGGCGCAAGCCTCGGTCAGGGTCCGCTAAGCAATTAATTGTACGTTGAAGGGAGGCAAGGTATGCCGCGGTGTCATCCCCCACGGTGCTGGCGATAAACGGACCAGCAGTCGAACAGGTCTGTAGCTTATCGCTTGCTGCTGATTGGGCTGTTGCGGGCGCTGAAGTCTGTTTGGAGCGGACAACAGATGTAATGCCCGGCAAACCGCTAAGGCCTACGGCGAGCCCGGCAATCCCTTGACGCGGCTTAGGCTTTGTAGCATTAAGCTCCTTCCAGATCTCGTCGATTGACTTCTTTTGGCCACTCATGGTCGATGGTTCCGGTCAAGGAAAAATCGTCGTCGACAAAATCACATCAATCGTTAGAGGATATTATTATATGTCGATCATGATTTGTAAGGCCAAACTTCTAAACTAGCAATAAATTACATTGGTTAGCCCATGGTGCCGAAAATGACAAATTGGTTGCACCTGACAGTTACTTGGTCGAAATCTAAAAACCTTCCTATAACTTTTCTCTCTGGGTTCAGAACTTTCCGCGGCCTCCGTACGATGCACCGAAACTGTTGCACCATAATGGCAAGTTGTAAGCTTGTGTAGACGCAGCTTCATTGTTGTTTAAGCATGCACGAATATTGGAGGGATGCGATGCGTCGTTTGGCGGTAATTTGACCGCAGGAGGGCCAACCGAATATTGGTACGGCTGGAGACACAAGGAGGCGCCACACACGCATCATACCATACAATACAACCGTCTTATTTTCGACCTGTCCTTTACCCCGCAGGCTGCATGCCGATATACAGTTCCCAAAGCAAGATAAACGACAGATCAGTTGGAAGCAAGACGGGGCAAGGCGTGTCTCAAACTTGTCTGGGTGTAAAAAGTAGACTCCGAAGCTGAAGGATTCCCGGATGTCAACTGGCCAACCCCAAACCTAAATGCGCAAGCCGAAAGTATTAGTTACATCGCACTATCGGAATATCTTCACTTGTCCGCACGGCACCTAGGTATAGGTATTGCTGAGTTCACGATAGAACCGCGGCCACCTGGGGCCCAATCATTTGTAGAAGCTGACTATCTTACGATAAAACACAGCAATTCCGAAAGTTTGGTACCCTAGAAGACCAGAATGTACGTTGCGCAATTGGACCCGAAAGAATTCATCTTTCCCTCTTCTTCCTCTTTGCGTGCCTCTCTAGTCCGCAGCAACCTATCGTGCCCAAACATCGTAGTCCGAGCATTCAAACTCCTAAAAAATTGTCTGGGGCACTCTCATCATGCACGACTTCTTTCACGAACTCGAACACTACCTTTATGCAGCATTTAACAAAAAAACATGTCGCAGCTTTCCGCTCATTACTATGATGACGGACTAGCATAGGCGGAATGCGGACAAAGGACAACACCGCGGAAACAATCGAAGCAAATATGCGACAACACAGACGAGACCCTGCGTGCTAACATTACTTCCATAAAAAATCATTCCTCTTTTATCACACAGAAGACACATCACAGAACACACAGGCAACGTTGGTGGACAAGGAGTTTAACTAGAACAGTGACGGTGACAGATATCGCAACAATCAAAAGCTGGAACCTGCTAGAAACGCCACGATGCGGCCAGGAGAGCGGCTTATCGTGTATGCGACAGGCAATTCATCCTTGGAGACGAGGCCTCGCCCCTGCACTCCCTCAAGTCTTGTCATCACGTTGGCATCTCCTCCTAGTACGATGTTATTAATTGCTCGATGGATCTTCCGGCTGCTCAAAAAGCTCAAGGCAACTGGCTAACGCCAACTGCAAAGGGGTTGGTCTGGCCAGGAGTCAGCTTGCTAAAGGTATGGTTCACGTGCGCATGGCAGGCCTCGTCCGCGCGCACCGCCAAGACCAGATCTGCAATGACGTCGTTGTCAGGCGGGCGGCGGTCAGCAGCAGCAGCAGCAGCAGCAGCAGCAGTAGCCGTGGGCGACCGCGATAGGGAACCATACACATTTCCGGGTTTCACCGAGTTAAAAAAGAGAGTATATATATCTAGAAACGAGGTCAGTTTCCAAGTTCAAATAACTGAACAACATCACCGCTATTACTAGTAAAATGGAAGCCAGCCCCTCTGGGTTGCCAAATAGGAAACGCGTTTTCCGTCCATACTCTTTGTGTCCCATACCCTGCTCCCATCCTCCCCTGCGGCGTCAGTTAAAAACGCCCGGGCCTTTCTCAGGTTCTCCCAACCCCTTACCTCTCTCTTCTTCTACCCACTCCCCTTATCGCGCTCTCCCCCTCACCACCGACTCACCTCGCATCGTCGCGCCACGCGGCAGTCCCCAGTACTCGACTGCGATGGCCGGTGCAGGTGTGCCCTTCCACAGCCTCCCCGCGTCGATCTCCGCCAGCGCGTGGGTGTACGTCTTGACCGCCTCCTCCTCCAGAAAGCCGATGAACGCATGGCAGGTGCGCGGGCTAAGCAGGTAAGCCAGGAAGTAGGCGTTGAAAAAGACGCCCTGTGCGCCAATGACGGCGGCTCGGAACAGCGGCCCTGGACGGCGGAGCTCCAAAAACGTGATGAGGTGCATGCGCTCGTTCTCCGCCTCCTCCAGCAGCGTGTGAATCCAGCCTGGGGAGGGGTTTTACGGTTGGAATTGGGAACACGGGTGCTTGAAGACAGAGGTTGGGGAGAGATGAGCGGTAAAAATGCAAAGGAATGGGTGCCGGGAGGTGGGGCAGGGGCATGGGTAGGGCAGGGCTAGGGCAGGGGCAGGGGTCGGGCGCTTGGGGAGGAGGCTGTGCTGCGAGGAAGGGACAACAAAGGCCGCACAGGATGACATGGAAACTAGGGGACGCTGCATCAACCCACCAACGGACAACACCCAATCCACACACAAGGGCCCAAAACCCGATACATTTACCTGGTGTGTGGGAACACACTTTGAAGTTCATCTGTTACAGCTACAGCTATAGCTGTAGCTGTAATACCCATCTTGACATCTAGGGCTTTACCCATCCAAATCTTTATACCCATCGATTGCATGCGCACACTCAAGCTAATGGTCTCTACCAACTGTTCCGTCCACAGCTCACCATGGTCGCGCCGCATGGTCCTCAACGACTTGAGGTGCCGCAGCATGCCCGCCACCATCCCCGGCACACCCGCGACCGTCTCCAGGAAGATGATGCGCCGCAGCCACTGCGCGTCCGTCATGTGCTCGCTGTAGCCCGTGGCCCGGTCAAACAGCCAGCGGGCCATCTGGATGGCGCGATAACCTACTAGCTGGTACAGCTGCGGGGCCGAACACGCATGCATGAATCAGAGTACTACTGAGTAATGAGAATCAAATGGGACGGGAGTCAAATTCAGCGAGCGCGTCGTTGTGTAGAAGTTGGCGCCGTGGTGGTGGTGGCAGCGGATAGATAAGAGGGTTCGTTGCAGGAAGTCGTGGGATGGCGATGATGATGGTGGTGGCGCAAGGAAGAACGGGGTGAAGAACAAAGGAAGCGGTGGTGGGAAAAAAGGTAGGAAAACGTTCAGCAGGTGCGTGGGTCGGCGGGATGGGGGAGGAGGCGGGTAGGTTGGCAAGTGAGTAGGTTTGGGACGGGATATCAAAGGAAAGGCACTTCGTCAATGAGCCATTCGAGTTGCTTCGTTGCTTGCCTTCTCTGGCGGCATGTGGGTCGGGCGTATGGTTTCCAGGTACTCGGTGTTGTAGGCGGGATGAGGCATGAAGCTCTCGTTGAAGCGTGCGTTGACCAGGTCAGAGCGGAGGCCCGGGTGGGGCGCCACAGCGCCGGCCGCAAAGGAGCCTCCAGCTTTGAGCATGGTCGGGGGCGGATGCACATGCTCGTAGGCCGGCTTGACACCGTTACTGTCCTTCTGCGAAGCCGTCTGCTCCGTATGGCTGGGGTTAGCCTGCGCACAGGATTCGCCAAAAAGCAACCTTGAATTGACTCAGGTGCGGGGCTTTACGGCAAAAGATGGCATGCGGGGACCCTGGTGCGCTATCAAAAGGTATGAAATGAGAAACTTTGGAGCATTCTGGAAGGGAAGGAAAAGAAAAGAAGGCTTGCTGGTCTTGCGAGGTTCGGCATGACGTTGCAACTGAAACCAATCACAACAAAACTAAGGCAAAGTTCGTAAGTGCCACAACAAAAGATGCTAGGGAAAGAGAGATTCGCCTGACCGGCGTATAAACGGCGTAACGCCGTGCCCAGGGCTGGCGACCGAGGACCGGGTCTGGCGAAGCTGCGGCCGCACCGTGCGAGTGGACCGCAGCCGCCCCCACTCCATACTCCAAAAGATTGAAAGCGCCACATATCGCCCCTCGTGCAAGGGAAGGGCTGGGCAGAAGTGGAATCGCCTGAGATATCAAGGTTGGCATGGTTGGCGTATTGGTAGGATGATTGAAGACTGTTGGTAGGACAGTTCAAATAAAAAGCGATAGTAAGGAGTATGAAATTTATGCACAACTCGGCAGCTCCGCTTCGAGTTGGGTCGAACGTGCGTAATGTCGGGGCTATAGGTAACTACATCGTACCAGCCAGCGAAGCTGCTCTCGTTGGCTGATCTTCTCCTCCAGGAATGGTGCTGAAGCCTTGCATTGTAAACAGATAAGAACAGATATTGTTTATCTATTATGAACAACCTTTTGTGTTAACTCCCCTAGTGCAATTTTGACACTGCTTCTTGTTCGCTGTGCTAGACCTCTGGCACCCTGCTCCCGCTCAAGATGAGGCCATCCAAGAGCTGCCCGACCTCACTATCGACAGGTCTGGATCAAGTTCTGAAAGCGAACTTGATGCTATCCTGGATCTCCTCCTTAACCCTGTGCTTTCCACCTAGTTTTGCATCATCCGGAAGCAGTTGCTCCTCTGTATTTATCGCCAAGTGCCTTCATGAAGATCATTCGGATTACCCTTGCTTGTCACCAGATGGTAACCCTACCAAATTGGTCGGTCCGGTACCAGGCCGGTAACCGACATAACGAGCTAACGACCCAGTAACTGGGGGTCACAGACCGATAAGGTTACCGGTCGGTAAGGTAGCCGGTCGGTTTCCGGGTCATTATCTCGAAATGTTCATTACCCCACCGAAGCGACCGGTTGGGTTATAGCTAACAGGTCGGTTGCCGACCCTTTTATGCCGTAGGGGTTGCGATGTGCGCGCACGCTTCAGCACACGCTGTTTCTGCTGCATCTGCTACTTTGAGTGCTTTGCAGCCCCGCGGTTTTCTCGCTCTTCCTCTGGACTTCCTTGGAATAGCTGTTTATGGCTCAGCTCATCGCCACACGCCGCAACTCCAGCAGCCCATCCATCCCAACTGCTCCAGCACTTCCCTCCTTGCCTTCTGCTCCGTCTCATGCACATCTCATACATGTCCTATTCTCCCTTTCGACTGGCAATGGCCTGGGGTCGCACACGACCAGGAGGCTATAGCTGTTCAGCCGTTTGTGTCGAGATGGAGGCGGCGCGCAATGCACCGCCCATGGATTTGCATTGGCGCCTGAGCGAGTGTATACACCAGATTCAAACGTCACTCCAATGCTGCCGGGCGCCGCATCCGGCCCTCGCAGCTATCAATTTTAATGAGAGTATGGTCCAAACACGACGCCATGCCTCCACTTGCAGTCCAGTGCCGTACAGCCTCCCCTGCTGAATACTGCGGGGCGACTGGCTGCACCCGGGCCGAGCCCTTCTCTGCTTCGAAGAAGCTAACTACCCTAGTTTTGCTGGGTCAGCAGTCAAACTGGCGAGGATGAAACGCTGTTACAAAGTCGGTACCTAGTGAAGCTCATTCTGGAACCCTGTGAACGCACATCTGGACGCAACCTTAGTCATACCTAGAGCAAACAGGCTAAGTCTAATGGTGACCTAGTCTTTAAGGGGCGCAGCATGCGCACCATTACGACTGTGGCGCCACCCCTGGCATTGGCCAGGTACCTCTCGGAAATTTGGGAGGCCAGGCACGTCGCGCTGAGGCGCTTCACCCTGAAGCGGACGAGGGAGAATAATGATGACCTCCCGCGTACCCGCATCAATACCAATACAACGTCCATGGCCCCCCCGGCTTTTACGGACACACCCGCACTTGTGTGCGGAACTTGTAACTTGTAACTTAGTCACAGCGTCTCCTAAAACAGTAGTTGTACTAAGTAGATAGGAGTAGCCCTTCCATTAATAAGCTCCCTATAGCAACTTACATTTGGTGTATGAGTCTTATGGATCTTTTCTTATGTGAAAACTATGAATTTTTTTATCACGCGCTATGCCCTGGCATCGGAAGGCAGGGAGTGCGGTCTTCAGCTGGTGGGCGATGACCAGGGAATTTGCGTTCGCAGAGCGATCAGAGGTAGATACTATAGACCAAAATATTAATCAAAGGCTTCCTTGTTTTTATGTTGTTTTTATGTGCACGCCAAACATTAGTAGTGTGAATTAGGGTTTGCATCGCTTTTCCTTCATCACACGACTTGCATCCCTAGATATTAATAATAAGGACCGGAAACGTTTCAGATGATTATAAGCTTACTTTCCGGTTGTATAGATCGAACTCCTGCATGCTTTGTCGCCACTGTCGCAAAGCGATCCTGACCGTTAAGACAGTTGAACGCCTGGACCCACGGGGGGGTCCATGTACTAGGGGTCATGTGATGCGCCCTTGCCGCTTCGGTATTTAACGATTGATCGAGTATGGACAACAAATATTATTTAGTTTCTCTATAGATCTAGATTATTCGTCCTTAGCCGGACTCGCCGCGAGCTCTTTGTTCAAAGTAACCCTGCAAAACCTATTAAACCATATACTTAGTTCTTTGTGTATGCTTAATCATCAGGAATATGGCGTTTGAAAAAAGTATTGAGATGCAGGGACAAGAGTCACAGACCGTCACAGAGCAGCCTCAAGATGGCAAGAAGTTCGGATACGGAATTGACTCTGAGGGCAAACTGAAGAGTCTACCCATATGGAGCTTCGCGCAGCCACATATGATGGCGTTTCACGTGAGTGGCGTGCGAGGCCATAGCGCTGTGTTCCCTGTCGTGTTCGTTAGTCCATCAGTAGACCGCTTTAGGCCCTCTTGTTAAGCCACAGAACACATCATATTAGGGTAGTCACTTCTCATTTATTTGATAGCATCAATTAGGAAGTTTCTTGTGCATTTGAGCCTGGCCGTCGATGCCTACTAATACTTTCGCGCTTTTATTTTGTCATGCTTGCTCTGCAGCTATCATGGTTGTCATTCTTTATGACTTTCATGGCTACGTTTGCGCCAGCTTCGCTTCTGCCCGTCATTCGCGATGACCTTTTCCTGACTAAGCCGCAGCTCGGAAACGCCGGCGTCGCGGCGGTTTGCGGCGCAATTGCCGCGCGTATTGGCATGGGAGCTTTTGTTGATATTGTCGGTGAGTCCTTGCAATGCGGATGGCACCTCCGCTCATGGTTGGAAGCTAGGTCACCTTTGTTACGGTTTGAGTGTCAGGCTGCAGACCCTAAAGTCAAAGGTTTTGCGTCCAAATGCCGGACGCCGAGAAGACCTCGACTTAATGCTAGCTCCTGCTTGCATTAAGAATCTTGTTCGCAACCTTCCGCCCTTGGAGTGGAGCTTTTCCCGAGAACGCGATGAACGATTTTGAAACGCCCGTATCGCAGGCCCACGGTACGGCACTGCCGCTACGATGCTTGCCACAGCACCTGCGGTATTCTGCATGGCGCTCGTGAACGACTACTCCGCCTTCACCGTCGTGCGCTTTTTCATCGGCTGCTCGCTCTGCATGTTCGTGTGCTGCCAGTTCTGGTGCGGAACGTAAGTCCTTTAAGTGTGGAGACATGGAGGATCGTTGCATGTGCACAATGCTGCTCGGAAACCATCGTAGCTTAGGCGCACTTAGGGTTTCATTTGCACCGCTCTTCACGGCAACTCTTCCCGGCACGCACCGCCCTCCCCCATCCCCCTATCCCGCATAATCCCTGATAGGACGCATCGCACATGGCTTGGGTGTGCGGCTGAGCGGCTTTTCGTTAGCTTGTTTGGGGTGTTGGGCACCTGAATTTGGGCACCTGAATTTTTCCCAAGATGACGGTTCATATAAGCGGAACACCAATAAAATTTGGGCTTTGCTCATTCACTTGCTCACGAATTTAACTTGAGTTTCTTTATTGACGTTATTTGTGTGTACTGACTGACTCTCGCACCCACCCAGGATGTTCAACGTGCGCCTGGTGGGCACTGCCAATGCGGTGGCGGGCGGCTGGGGCAACATGGGCGGCGGTGCATGTCACTGGATCATGCCAGGGATCTACGAAGGCATAATGAAGCGTGGCGTGCCGAGCTTTCAGGCGTGGCGCTGGGCATTCTTCGTGCCGGGCGGCATCTACATCCTGAACGCCTTCTCCACGCTCGTGCTGGGCATCGACCACCCCTCCGGCAAGGACTATCGGGACCTCAAGAAGGACGGCACGTTGAAGAGCAAGGGCGCCTTCTGGCCCGTCTTCAAGTGCGCCATGGGAAACTATCGGTGAGTTGTTGAGAACATTGGTGGTAATTCTCCTGCCATTTGCGACTTTGCCGTACGGAAAACAATGCCGTATAGCAAATTATGCGGCATAATGTGTTTTGAACTGCAACGCCGGTGTGTCGGTGAACCTCCCGAAGTTAGTCGCACATGGTTGACGCGATGTAGCGCCCTGCCACCGCATTGGGTGACAACCACATGGGCTCCACTACGGGGGCCTCCCCCTAATGTCACATGCGTATTTGTACGGAAAACCAGGTATCTCTCCAAATCAAGGCACAACATAAAATAGCAGGCAATATAGAAAGAGATTTTATTTTTTATTTTTCGTGTTATTTCTACTCCTTCCTTCCTTCCTTCCTTCCTCAGTCCTCCATTAGCCCCCTAAATGACAACCATGCACCGTGTGTACTTGCATAATACTCGTGCGTCAGGGCCTGGATCCTGGCACTCACGTACGGCTACTCCTTCGGCGTCGAACTGACCGTCGACAACATCATCGTCGAGTATTTGTTTGACCAGTTCGGCCTCAGCCTCACCGTCGCCGGTGCCCTGGGGGGCGCGTTCGGTATGATGAACCTCTTCACACGCGCCTCAGGCGGCATGCTGTCAGACTGGGTTGCCAAGTACTGGGGCATGCGCGGACGCCTTTGGGCCTTATGGATCGTACAGACGCTTGGCGGCATCTTCTGTGTCGTCCTGGGAGTCGTACACAACAACCTAACCGCCACCGTCGTGGTGATGTTCATCTTCAGCATTTTCTGCCAGCAGGCCTGCGGCCTGCATTTCGGCATCACGCCCTTCGTGTCGCGCCGTGCGTACGGCGTGGTTTCGGGGCTGGTGGGCGCCGGGGGGAGCGCCGGGGGAGCCATCACACAGGCCATCTGGTTCGCTGGAACTGCCAAGTGGCAGATGAGGTAAGTTGCGACGGATTTTTTTATTCGGCAATTTTTAGTGGTTCGGTTTGCTTTTCTCTTTTCTCTTTCCTCTTTTCTCTTTTCCCGTCTCGCGTGACAGACTAAAATGAAAACAGAGCCATACACCTGATGTCGTGAGAGCCACGGATGCAATGTCTTTCTCGCGGCCATTAAAGACTGACGTGCTGAAAATTATCGCCCAAGCCACCCAAGTGTCATTCTATCATCATCACCTGCCTTCTGCCGCCCCTCCACATCCGCGCGCACCCACCACAGCCTCCAAAAGTACGACGGCCTCAAGTACATGGGCCTTCAGACCATCGGCCTGACGCTGGTGCTTTTCCTCATCCAGTTTCCCATGTGGGGCTCCATGTTGACCGGGCCCCGTGAGGGCGCTCAGGAGGAGGACTACTACCTGAGGGAGTGGAGCGCGGAGGAGGTGGCGCAGGGGCTGCATCAGGGTGCCATGAACTTTGCTGTTGAGAGCAAGTGAGTGACTCAGCGGTGCGACAGAGAGTGACTCAGCGGTGGAGCCGCGCCTACGTGCACGCTCGCGCCGGGCCGTGGGCGAGCTGTTGGGTTTGGGAATGTTTCACGGATAATAGTGTATGGCGACCGACGGGATGTGCGGTATTGGTAATGAGATTGCAGGGCCGCGGAGGAGGTACAATGGGGCAATACTAGCGATGTATTTCATTCAGCATGACAGCGGGCGCAGGTAGGGGTAGGTAGGACTAGTTCAGGGTCCGGAAGGGGTGTGTGCTGTTCCGCTTTCTCACCTCTTTTCTCTTCTCACCTCCACCTGCTGCCCCCCAACTGCTCGCAGATCTCAACGAGGCTCCCGCTCCAGAGTGGGCGTGTCCGCCGCCGCCGCCGCCGCCGATGCCACCAAGGCCGTCAAAGATGGCTCGGTTTCCGCCGACAAGCCGATGGCGGCGGCACCCGTGGCATGAGATCATGTAGGGCGCAACGCGTGGATGGGGCGGGACGGGACGGGGTACTTTGTCAAAATAATATTCATGTGGGGGATGGGGGAACCGCAGTCAAAGATCTGAACAAAGTCATTTTTGTGAGAGGAGGGAATGCATGTGACATGCACGTGATCCCCTGCTGGACGTGCAACGAGCGTACGGCAACGTGAAGGCGTGGGCGTGCTTGCAGCTGATAAGGATTTTGCATTTGTTTTCCCGGCGTATGACGCTTTACGGAGCGCAATGTCCATTACCCGCCCGGGCATCTCTCCGCGCGCCTTGGAGGAAAAGAATTACTCTTGAGGGCGGCCAATGGGGAGGAGATGGAGCTACTGAACACAGCGAAGGAAGAACCGCGAAGAAGAACACAATGGGGTGGTATGTTGGTGTGAGGAGTATTCACTCCTCGTTGTCGATAGTTAGTTAGTTACTCGTGGCATTGAGATTGGGGCATGGGCGCGGATTGTTCTTGGGACACACGAACACCTGTCGCAGTTCTTGTGTCCTGTCTCGGCGAGATCGCTGGCTGGGACGTCAGCACTCGAAAATTATTATCCGCACTGTCGTTGGCGCTTGCGCAACACCTCACAACTACCCGGCGTTCCCAACTGCGTGCCTTAAACCGGATCCGTATTTCGACGTTATGAAAAAGTGTATGTTTGTAGTGCAGAAATGCTCTTGTGGTCGTGTATGGCCGGCTGCAGAGAGCCGGCAACAGGACCGCGTCAGGCACCTCATTTGTTTCGAGGTTTTGGGGGATTGTGCGCTCCGGAACCTGTGACAGAGCATCTTTCTCGGTGGGTCGTACGAGTCGTATCTCGTAGCAAAGCAATTGGTTGGTACAGTTTAGTGGACTCGATAGGGTACTTGTGGTGGATACCTGGTTGGCCCGGCTGTGGGGAGGGAGAGGGATGGGTGAGCTTTTCGTGGGAAGGATAAGGATGGGTAGAACGGGGGCTTGCGGCGCGTTGACTGCATTGACCTTTTCAACCTTGACTGGCGGTGGGGTCGTGCTACGGGCATAGAGACTGAGATGCCCTCAGCTACCCAGAGCCTGTTCACCGTCACCAGGTTCTTACTTGCGCAACCTGAAATCATTCTTAGATTTGATCTTGTACTCGCAATAACTGTTTATTGTCAGTATCATTGTCATCGACCTCGCGGCGCTCAAGAGCGCATTCGGGACGGGGGGTTGGAGGGTGAAGTATGAATGTGAGACCATGGTGTATTGCTGCTTTGCACTTTGTGAAATGTGAAAGGTGAGTTGTGGTGCGTCGCGATTAGTTGACCAACTAACTAACTAATTGAGGGTTGCTCTGTGACTGAAAGATTGTGCTGTCCTTGGACCTGGCGGGGAGTCATGATGTCGACTGATGGCAGTGTGTCGGGACTTGGCTTTCCGTTCGCAAACACCGCAAGTGGGGCCCTGACCACGGAATGCTATCGCACGAATATTGTTTTGGGTTCCTGGAAAAAAAGATTTTTTTCTGTGGATTGTCCAGTGTTGTTGGAGAGTGACGGAGAGAAAACGCAGGGGACTACCATGTATTCCTGCATCAGCGAGTAGCAAGCGAGGACGGAGACGTTTGTGCCGCATCGGCGTGCGCATTGAAACATGCAAGTACTGAGTACTGTCTGCTCGACAGGTTCTTGATGGTTTTTAGTGTATGACATTTTTTGCGGCTCTGTCGCAAACAGCGAATTATAACTGGGGCGCCGGCGTCTGATGTGGCTTTGTTGCAATCGCACTGGCTGGGTTTCATTTCCAGCAGTTGTGCATTGCAGGTTGCAGGCGGCACCAACTTATAAGGCTTTGCCGATGGTTTTCTTGCATGACGGCGCGCATGTTTTGCATCGCTACACTTGCACGATTGCTTAGGTATCTGCACCAGCTTGTTGCCGATGCCATAACTGAGCGTTGTGCTTTTATTTTTGACATCATATAATTTTGAGACTGTACTGTTTTCGTTTTCCTTTGACTGTTGTGTTTGACCACGTCATATAAAACCTCCTAAAACGAAGTTTCTGGTGTTTCCTGCGTCAATGCACGGCAAGACTGTAGGCTCCTCATTGGTCATGCATCCTTTTGCATGAGCGCGTTACAGAACATGCGACCTTGCCGAGACACGAAAAACGTACTTGGTGGTTCCGGAGCTTGCATGAATGCTTAATCGATTGTTACGTCGCCAGAAGCCGCGAACCGTTCATGTCGCATTATGGGAATGACAATCCCTCGCAGGGCTACCTTGCCAGACGCGGGATTAATTCAAATCTGTTGCGAAAAAAACATTTAGTGGTAAATACACAGCGAAGCCTAGATGTTTAGCGCATTAGGATTGTACGATTACAAGGTTTTAAAGCCAAGGTTTGCCCGCAGCCGTGTTTTTGCTCTCGATTGCTCTGGTGCTACAGCGCCATTTCTTCGCGCTCTCACGTCGCATGACCCTTTTCTGGTCAGAGGCATGCCTATTGGCAATTGCCTCGAACAAACCATAAGTAGTGTTCAGCGCGTGGCCATTGCCGGATACCGCCGGCGGCTCTTAGGTGTATGTTTAGTACGGCACTAACAGACACCTCGCTGAAACAAAAAGACCCATTTATCTATCAACCACTACGATCGATAAAAACGTAATGGCATGGATGCTATAAATGAAGAAAGGGCGAAACCGCGGCGACCAAACAAGAGTGCCGTAGTACATCCCTGCGCGCCCCGTAAGCGGGCGTGAGCGCCACAGGCTCCACACTTTGGACCCGTTACGTCATATTCCATTGATGAATAGCACACCCAAATATGTACACAACTGCGCACTCACGCGGCGCGCATATCCACAGATCCGCACGATTTCTGCGGCCCTCACACACAGAACGAAAATGACCGACGACGTCTCCGTTTTATGTCCGTTTTGTCTTGACCGTACCGTGAATCGACAACATGCTTCTTTAATTGCTGTGCGGCCGCGCCGTTTTCTCGATCTTGCCTTGGACATTCTTGGGACTAGCTATGGCTCAGCTCATCGCCACACTCCGCAACTCCAGCAGCCCATCCATCCCAACTGCTCCAGCACTTCACTCCTTGCCTTCTGCTCCGTCTCATGCACATCTCTTACATGTCCTATTCTCCAGTTCGACTGGCAATGGGCTGGGGTAGCGCACTACCAGGAGGCTATAGCTGCTCAGCCGTTCGTGTTGACATGGAGGCGGCGCGCAATGCACCGCCCCTGGATTTGCATTGGCGCCTTAGCGAGTGTATACACCAGATTCAAACGTCACTCCAATGCTGCCAGCCGCCGCATCCGGCCCTCGCAGCTATCCATAATATTGAATGCATGGTCCAAACACGACGCCGTTCCTCCACTTGCAGTCCAGTGCCGTACAGCCTCCCCTGCTGAATACTGCGGGGCGACTGGCTGCACCCGGGCCGAGCCCTTTTTGGCTTTGAAGAAGCTGATTACCCTAGTCGGCTTCCATTTGGGCATGCACGCTGACATCAGCAACGTGAAGGATTCGCATCCACACGCGCATCCTTGTGTGCAGGAAATGTCCTTCCGGCCCCCTAAGCCCTGAACGATCGCACGCTCTGTTGCATGTACGACAGCACAACTGGATATGGTACGAACAGACCCCCTTTCAAGATGACGTCGCCTGACGATCTAATCCGGCGATTCCTACGCTGCCGCCTTCCTAACGTATGTTATGATCATTCCATCACCTTACACCAATAACAGGTTCAATGTGCACACACACACACACGGGGCATATAGCTACGTGCCCCTGGCTAGCGCCAGGCCTGGATCGGTGTGAAACAGAAATACATATCACACGCACAGCCATGCGCCGCTGCATGTTGACGTACGGGTTGTTCCCTAATCCTAGCCCCTGTCGGGTCATGGCGTATGTCCATTACAACACAGCACAGGGAGATGAAGGCAACCCTCAGATGAATCCAACATTCAGCACAAGATCCAATAGACGATATTGATTTTGCCTGTCTGGGAAGAATCAAACATGCAATTCCGTAGTCGAAGCAAAATAACTCTCGCCACCATTCAAAATTCCAAACTATAACCTGTGAGCGCATCATCCACACACAGATGTGCATCATCCACACACAGATGTACATGGGCGCATTCCGTTCGGTTACGTGCGATCCACTGATCTAATTGTAGCCAGCCAGCCAGCCAGCCAGCCAGCCAGCCTATCATGTGCATATTGAGGGTTCCCACCCAGCTCCCCCTTCTGAGCGCATGTATCTTATCTGCCAATATAGAAGCAATGCAACAGTGATTGTAAAACATTTCCCGAACAGGGAGAGATGCGAACGGATACATGGACATGAATAATGGACCGTTATTTAATTCACAACGAAGCTAATTGCAGCAGCTTGAAGCCCATTCGAGAATGTGAAGGGACGGGGAGCCCTTGATAAAGAAAGTAACCGCCTGCGCTGGCTTTCTCTGGGCGAACAGCCCTGCGCGGATAAACCCCCTACGGACCCGGCTGCGTCCCATACAGACATCCAGACAGGCAGGCGTGCCGCCATCGATCCGCCACTGCCACATGCCGCGTTGCGTAGATGATGGTGAACATCCGCGCGTATGCCACCGAAGACGCCGCGGCGGCTGCAGCCACCAGTCGTCATTGCAGAATGTGGCGCCGCACGACCAGGGAAGCAGCAATTGGTCCTAACAAGCTGTAGCAACAACCGGCTTGCTCCACTTTCCGCGTTGTCCCCTCTCTAGCTGATCGAGGATTGACGCACACGCATGGACGGTCACTGCACGTAGCTTCATGAAAAGCGCGCGGACAAAGCGAAGCAACCTTTCTTAACCCATAAATTTGACTAGTACTGCGAACTCTCGCGTACATAAAGACTGTGTCGGGAAAATGGAAAACGTCATGGGCAGACGGCCTTGCCACAAGTCACATACACCAACAATGTACGGCGATGGCGGAACGACAGCGCGTCGGCGCTGCCCACATCGTGCCCCACATTGTGACACAAAAAGAACTCCCCGCTATGCAGTACACGGCCTCGCGCCCTTGCAGCAGCATTAGCATTGATAGCGTGCCGCCAATGCTTCCGCCACAACACTACTTCCCGTTCTCCAACCGTCCTCCCTGGTACAGAGAAGGTTATACGCCTCCGCTGCTCTCAAGCTAGCCCGGCGTGGCCCATCTATATCTCCCGGCCTCCCGACCTTCCGACCTCTCCCCTCACAACCTGACGAACTGGACTCGTTCTGTGGTGTTGAGCATGAAGGGCTTGAGCTTCCAGCCCGCCTGCAACCACAGACAAAACACGCGCGTATATGTACAAACATACGCACACCCACACACGTGTAAGCACACACACACACACACACACACACGAATCACGGTGCGGTGGCGGCATCCATCGCGGTAGCGCCCGCATCGGCACCAGGCAAAACGTTTGGCAAAGGGAAGGAGGCAAGGGGGGAGGGAGGAAGCTGTTAAGTACAGGGAAGGGGGGGGGGAAACAGAGCGGCATGTGCGGAGCTCCTGGCGGGTGGGAGGGCAGCTTGAATGAAGTGACCCTCCACACACGCAAAAGGGTAGAGGAAAGGCAGCCGGCTGAGCACACGGCCCGTCTGGGGTTTGAGTTGCATTCAAATTCGCATGCAGGCATGTAACCGGGGTCGCGGCATGAGGGCACAAGCATTGCGTGGATTTAACATCCCCCAGCAAACCGCTCTCAGCCCTGCTAGGGTAGCCGCCGCTCTTCCTAGCCGGCGCCTAGATGCCCGTAGGCGGAGTAATTGGGTGTGACATATTGATACCTTCAATTTTTCCTCCAGGCTCCCCTCCATTAACCTTTCGTTTCTGTCACACGTAACAGCCCCATCGGAACAAAACCCACTTACATTTGTCCTTTCACGTCGTACACGCACATTTACACACATACATACAAAAGCACAGCCACATGCCTCGAGGCTAAGTTCATTCAAAGACAGCCAGCCGCACCTGTTCCGCTTCCCGCAGCAATCGAGGCAGATTCCGGTCCGCTTCTCGACGACTGGATTGAATAAGTGCCGACCACACCCCCGCGTCCATCATGTTCCACCGTGGTTTCGGAGCGGCCCCGCCACAGGCCCCAGCGTCGCTTCTACAGCTGCCTTTATTAATGCTGCTACAACTGCTGCTGCTATTGCCGCGACATGGATCAAACGGATGGTGGTCGTGACGGGGCCCGCCCTCCCCAGGCCCCGGCGTAGCCGTACAGCAAGCGCCGCCGCCGCCGACTTGCCCCCCACTGCTATTTCCGTGTAAGGCCCCACTGGTATTGCTATTCCCATTGCCACCGCCGTGGCCTTGGCTTATGCTGAGGCTGGCCGTGCGCGCGACGTACCCGCTGCCGTTGCCTGTGCTGGGCTCCCCGTGTGCGTGCGCGTGCGCGGATGGGTGGGGGTGGGCTGGTTGGATTGTATGGGTGTGATAGTGGGTGTGGTGGTAAGGCATGTGGTGGCGGGTGTCCCAGTGCATGTGGTCGTGGGTGTGACCCAGGACGGAGCTGCAGCCGCTGGCGCCACCAACACCGCTGCCGTCACCCTCACCACCGTCGCCCGTTGCAGCGCAGCGTTCGTGTGCCTGCTTCTGACGCTGTAACAGCAGCTGCTGGATTCCGCTGTGGTTTCCGTTGCGACTGTTATGGCGGTTGTAGTGGTTAATGGCAGTTCGGTCGCTTCCCGAGTCGCGCTCGGGGGCCACATCAGATGAGGAGAGGAGCGCAATGTTCTGATCACGCTCATGACGGTCGCCAAGGTGGTTGTTGTTGTTGTTGTTGTTGTTATGGTGGTGGTGGTGGAGCGGGAGGAGGTTTTTGGGGCACTGCTGGGAAGGCGGTTGCGCTGAGCTCTCAAGGGACGCATGTTGCTGTTGGTGTTGTTCTTGTTTGTGTTGCTGGTGGTTGTGATTGTGGTTGTGAAGGCTGTGTAGGCTGTGGTGGTTGTGGATATGGTGCTGGTTGTGGTTGTGGTGGTGCAGCTGTTTGTGATGGTGGTAGTGGGTCTCGGACGGCTGGTCCACACAATGTTCGAGAACCGCCTGTGCGGGAGTTGAGACGGTTTTCGAGAAAGGCAGGCGGCGAAGGCGGGTCTCCAAAAGGAATCCAGAAATGGGTAGGGCGCTTTGGGCCCGAGGGCGCCCCGGGAGGGGTGGATTCTGGGTTTAGGGAAGCAGCATCGCAAACACAGAAAACATCTTTTGTTGCACGATGGTTGCACGCGGGCAGACAGACAGACAGACAGACAGACAGACAGACAGACAGACAGGCAGGCAGCACCAGTAATTTGGACAGGCCGACGGACATTTGAAACCGACAGACAGAGCGACAAACAGACAGATATTCCCGTCAAGCAACAGGGACGTACCTTCCGCAGGTAGGCCGCATGCAGAAGGGCCTTGGCGATGTCGCTGGGAGTAGCACGATCGCTGGTGGTGGTGGTGGTAATGATGGCGCATCGTGGTGAAGGAAACAACAAATGTACGACAGCATACGACCGGAGTACGATGCGAAAGGAAAGGGGCAACCAAGACCGGCAGACGCAGGGGGGAAGCTTTGGTGAGAAGTAGTTTTGTTAAATTGGGGGTGCGTGGGGGTTTGGTGCTGAAAAGGTGCTGAAAACGCACATGTCGCTGTGCTGTGACGTAGTGGCGACGTAGGCGCGGGGCATGCATACAGCTCTCTTGATTGGCACGGCAGGTGTACAGCAACGGGATGTGCATAATTCGAATTCGGGGCGCGCGAACATAGGAAATGAAGTTTGGCCTAGACGGCCTAACTCCGATGACGACCACTGGTAGAGAGCTCCGTTAAAATGAGTTTGTAACATCCTGGGCCCCAAGGTAGTCCATAAAACAGCCGAGCAAATCGCTTCCTGTAACGTCCCCTCTGCGGTGCCCGAGGATCCCCTTTTTCGCCTTACACCTGTTCCCCTTCCCGCCTGCCTTCCGCCCCCCTTCCAACCCCGTTCTGAACCCCTTGCTCAGCAGCCCACACCCGTCCACAGCCCTCATTCATTCGGTCCAGAGCTCTCAGCCATCAGCCTACACTCCATGTAGCCTACCTCAAAGAGACGAGCAGCTCGGGATGCCCCGCACCACCACCACCACCACCACCGCCTCCGCCGCCGCCGCCGCCGCCGCCGCCGCCGCTGCTGCTGCCCAGCAAATGTGCTGCAGGGAACCAGTCAGGCATCCGCCAGCCTCCACCAACACCCCGGCCGTCGCCACTCCCGTCGCCGCAAGCGGCGGCTGTCACCGCCGGCCCTGCAGCAGCAGCACCGCTCCGGTCGGCGACGTGCAGCACATATTCCTCGCCGTCGTACTCCCTCAGCAGTTTTCGGAGCTGCTCCGGGTTGGCCGGCGCGATTCGGTCCAGGGGCCCTATCCTCAGAGGCAGCAGTCCTCGCCACACGTCGGAAGGCAGTATCAAATTTTCCGCCGCACTAATCTGCACGCAGGAGATCAATTTTAAGGAAACGAAGGTTACTAAGGTTAAGGTTAAGGAGGTTAGCAAGGTAAGGAATACGAAACATTGGATCACAAGCGGGTCATACGAACCGAACCGCAAAGCCGCCAAAGTGTCGAGGAAAGCCAAGGGACACAACAAGCATTTATCCAATCCCGCCGCCCTCCAGCCGTGACGCTGCGCTACTTTTTAACGATAGCATCCAGCCCGCCCCTACCCCACGACCCGTTTACCCCACATCCCCACCATCCCCCCTACCTCTCCTCTTCTCCATCCCCCCCCCACACACACACGTTCGAACACGCCCCTCCTACCATACACATCGCACACCTCACGTACCAGAAATTCCCAGCCACACACACACACACACACACACAGACACACACACACACACGTACATATACACACAAAGAAACCCATATGCTGCACTCGCCCCAGCCGCACCATCATCGCCCCGGAACCCTCGGCCGCTTTACACAGGCGGGTCCCCTTCCTCACCTCCGCTGCATCCGGCACTGCCCCCCTCCTCATCCACCTCTCAATCAACATCTCCGCCCTCTCCCGATTGAGTGTCCGCAACTGAACCGCCTTGAGCTCGTGCCAGATGCAAGTTAGGTCGCCTGGAAGGAGGGTGTGGCAGTGGCGGGGTTGGGGCCCCAGGTCCACGGTGTACGGTTAGGGCTTTAGGGGGAAGGTGTTGTAGGAGCATATGGGGTTGGTGGGAACCGTACGATGTTGCGAAATGCGCAAAGGGATCACCCGCCGACGTCCAAATTACCCAGTGCCGGTGCAAAAAACAACAACAGGCAACTGCCCCCCGTAGCCCAACCAGAACCTTGTTGTAAGCCCAAGGTTGAAGAGAGGGTGTTGGCGGGACGGGAGCTGCAACGCAGCAATGCCCAGGCTGCCACCCCAAAGATGCCTGCCGGCCTCACCGGCCTCACAATCACCCGCCACCTCCATTTCCCTCGAACTAAATCAGGGTGCAATACAACCAAACTACCCATTCTATTCCCAGCCATCACAGCCACAACATTCAACCTCACCAAACCTCACCGCGCGCCCACCCCCACCCCCCACCTGCAGCGCACAGCGGGTACATGACGGCCGGCAGCAGCAGCCCTCCGCGGGGCATACCCCGGCACAACCAGGTCAGACCTGCGGACACCCCCAGAGCCAACATGTCCATCACCTGCGAAAACAAACAATCAAAAGCAGCCTCTTAGCGAAGCGACCCATGGGTCGGGTGCGCCAGCGCAACCAGCATAAGCAGCATCAGCAGCGGCAGCAGCAGCCGCGACCCCACCCGCCCTAGGCAAAGCAGCTAGGCCCAACCCAAGCCAGCCCCAGGTTAGGGCCCCCACCATGTGCTGCGCCTGGTTCTTGGATGTGAGGTCCGCCAGGTTGCCCCCGGTAGCCAGTGCGGCCTGGAAGGCGGGCTGGGTGGCGACGAAGGCAGACAGACCTGACGTGGGCAGCGGGAGCAGGAGGTGGGTGGTAATCATAGGCTGCTGTTGACGACGACGACGATGATGATGATGGCGATGGCAAATGCAAAAGCAAATACCCAGCAGGATGGGGGTTATCTTGACGCATTTTCGTTTGAACCCCACCCCATCCCACCCCGCGCCATGCCTACGCGTTCCCACACCCCAAAACGCGGTCCCAATCCCTGCCGCAGTCACAGCTCCAATGGTGCGTCGCGTCGTGAGGAGGACGGCAAACCCACTCCACATCTTCCTACGCGTCCAGGTCGGTGTCTGGCGGCATCGCATGTGTTTCGTTTTGCTCCCACCTCACCCGCGCCCCACCCCACCCCACCTCGCCCGCCCCCCACCCCACCTCACCCCGCCACTATCCTCCTGTCCTCTACTTTCCTGGCTGGAATTTACCCGAAGGTTCTTTGCTGCGCTATCCTTACATGAAGGCACCTCGCCATCCCCACCATTCCTCGCAGCACTAAGCAGAGAACCCGTTCTGTAAGTAGCGCTTAGTGGGCTAAAATATCACTCATCATAACACTAATAAAAACACTAACAGCCCACCAAGCATTGACTAAACCCTGCTTATAGCTCGCTAAGGGCTATTCACGTGCTTCCGCAACGCGCGCTCACCCACTGCCCTGCCCACGCTGCTGATGGACGCCAGCGCCACAAAGTGCTGCGGGTAGAAGGGCGTGGCGAACTCCCCCGCCATGCAGGCTGTAAAGATGAGAGAGGTGATGAAACGCATGCGCTGCGGTGCGGATGCAGGTGCAGGTCCAAAAGGAGAGAGATGGAGCCAAAACAACCTTTAAATATTAATTCATGCTCTTCAAAGTATGCAAAACTAAATATGCGCAAAAGCAACCAGAAACAACTGCCCTTGGTTTCGTGACACCCAGCCCCCAGGCGAGGTAGGAGGTAGGAGTTTGATAATTTGCAAACGCAGAGGGGAGGTGGGTATTGCGGGAGGAGGGAGGGAGGGAGGGAGGAACAGACCAGGAGGGGAAAGACGAACCACACCAGGAGGGGCGGGAAACCGGGATACAGCCAATCTTGGTTGCTGCGAGCCCAGCCTCACCCACCCTGCCGCCCAGACAGGCAGACAGACAAACAGACAAATCTTATTCTCTAGTCGCCCGCTGATGCCCAACCTCAGCCTCAGCGCCGCCTTCAACAGGCCCAACGCAACGCTCACCTTGAGATCAGCATCAAAAGTTTGACCGAATGACGTGGACACGCTCATCCGTACAATACGAGACACGCCGTCTTTTAGCAGCCAATTGATGGCGGCGGAGGCGGCAAAAGCCTGAGGAGGTGGGAGTAAGGGTGTTCACGCGGGTTGGCCAGGAAGGAGGAAGGAGGGCCAGGAAGGAGGAAGGAGGGCCAGGAAGGAAGGTTAGGGTGAGTGGGCGCGTTTGTGCTTAGTTGGGTGGCCGTGGATGTAGATGTGGATGTAGATGGGGATGTAAATGGGGATGTGGATACGGATGGAGGTGGCCACCCCCGGCCGCCAGACCACCCCAGAACACGGCGCCCACACCCCTTCACGGCTCTCTTCAGCACTCATGGACCGCTCATTAAACCCACCCACCTCCGGCCTCTATGCCTCATCCCGCCACTTCGCTTCTTCCTACGAGCACACATACACGTACACACGCACATCCATACACGCACACGCAAGCACACCCATACACCCGCACCTTCTTGGCCCCCAGCCCGGTGGCCATGAGCAGCGCTGAGAAGGAGAAGTTCTGCATGGTGCTGCTGAAGAAGCGCTGACAGGGGCCGGAGAGGTCGGAGGGACCGGCCGGGAAACGATGCGGGCAAGTACGACGCGAGACGGAGGAAAGGGGGAGAAATAATCATCACGATGGCCAAACGATAGCAAACCCAGATTTCAAGAAAACAGAACACTCAAGAGGTTTTATGCGCCAATGTAATCATGTGTATGTGTTATACCTTCTGGAGTTGTGTTATTTTCCGAAGGTGTAACGGGCACATACGAGCCGTGAAGGGGCCCACAAGGGCCAGTCTAGGGTTTCGATACATTTTAAATTATGTGTTGTACGTGTCAACTGTTTTGTTTATATGTTTTAGAGGTCGACATCACCGCCCGAGATTCGGTAGAGTTGTGTACGTATTATTGGGGGAAGGGGGATTATATGCGAAAGTCAGAGAGATGAAGTGTGTTTTTGGTGGGGAGGGAGGGTGGTGTAGTAGCGAAGGGAGCACCCGCGTGCGCTTCGATATGTACGGGCCCCCGGGCAGGAGCTGGAAGGGGGGAGCTTTGGACCTTCCTTATATACGCGCATATATGCAATGTGCCGCATGCAGAAGCTTGTCTTGGCCGCTACGGTCCTAACCCCTTTCCCCCCATACCCCTTTCCCCCCATACCCCTTTCCCCCCGTACCCCTTCCCCCCGTACCCCTGCCCCCCGTACCCCTGCCCCGCCAACCTGTGTCAACCTCCATCTCAGCCACTCCCAGTAGTCGGGTGTTACGTCCCGGGGGTCGGGTAGGAAGGCCTCCTTCAGCTGCCGCTGGACGCCCAGGAGCCAGTTGCGGAGGCGGCCTGAGGGCGGCCAGGAGAAGGGGGGAGCAGGAGGGGAATGACAGCTCGATGTGATGCAGAAGTCCAGGTACAAATGTCGACGTCCAAAATACACCAAGCACCGCGAAAAGGGTCGAGAGGAGGGGAAGGGGGCAGAAAAAGGAGGCGCATGCGCAGAGGACAGAGGAAGGTTGCAGGGACAAGGTCAAGGTGGGGGGGGCCCAAAAGGAAGGAGCTAAGGAGGGGCAAAAATGGTTAACAGAGAACCAAAAATGAAAAACCAATGGCCGAGCGCATAACGATGGTGACGGTGGTTTCAGGTACTACCATTGGACCGGCAACAGACGCGCACACGCACACACACACACACACACACACACACACCCTGATCATCGCCAGCCCTCATCGTAAGTTGATCAAAACCCGTATCCTATAGCACCCCCTCGAAACTCCCTTTCCATTCCCCCGTACACACACATACACACACATACACCGAAGACGCGCGCACGCCGCGCCGGCCCCACCAGTCGTCACATCCGAGTCCTGCAGAGCCGCCTCGCTCATGGCCGTGATGCGTCGCCCATCCCACACGTACGGCAGCAACTGGTCGCCTGCGGCGACGTACAATCGAGACGTACAGCACAGCATGGGGAGTGTGTATGAATGTGCGTGTCTGTGTGTGTGCATCCGCACTGGGCTTCTCGGCACACCCGGCCATTAGCTGTTAGCCGTTAACTAACCAAGTGCGCAAGATAGGTGAAAGGTAGCATACATCACACATACATCAGAGATCTACATACACCGCGTTAAAAAGCCTTCAAATCAGATAATACGGTTTGAATCAATCAATGCGGTGTAGGGGCTCCGTCGGGGCTGAGTGGACGCAAAGGATGCACGGGTGCAACAACAAGAGCCACGGCGTGAGCATATGCCATAAGCCGGTCCCGTCAAGGAGCACTTAAGGACAGCGTTTTGACCAAGCTCAGCTCCAATGACCAATGGAATTTCCACACGGCGGCACAGACCGGTGCCTACGCAGTCTCGAGAGGGATCAGGAGCTTCCGGGCCACCTGAGCGCCGGCCCCCGGCCACCACGGCCTAGTTTTAGCAGGCCGCTCATGCCGCTGACCCAGATTGAAAACTTCGCACCGCTGACCCAAATCGTCTGTCCAGTTTCGGGACCCGGCCCGGTTCGCTGCAGCTCGGCCCGGCAAGGCGCAACTCAGATGGGGGGAAGGAAGGGAGAGGAGGGGCTGTCCACGTGTCCCGACGGGAAAAGCCCGTAGCCGCATCAAACGACCCAACTGCAACAACCCACTATGACAATCGCAGTTGGGAGGTGAGTGGGGACCGCGAGCCCTTCATTCGTTGTGATCTGAATCATTCCAGCACCTCATTCCAGCCTTATGTTGCCAAACTGACAACAATCTGATCTGGGTCAGGGTAAGCTTGTGGCTGTTCCTGTGTACTTGTGGGACTAGGCTCATCCAGCTAGGCGTCATAGTATAGATACACACCACCTCGTTCTTTTGCTCGCTCGGTCGCTCACACACAACCGCATTCGCACAACCCCAAGATGATGTGTGCTCCTTGTGTGGTCTGTGCGCTGTGGTTACTGGCACGTTGGAGCAAGGACCCAGGGTGCAGGGTACGGAGAGCAGTTCTTGCCCCAACAGAGGGGTTGGCCGAGCGGAGACGTGGATAGGGCAACTTTTAGCGGCCTTGTCCAGGGTCCAACGGAAGAAGCAGCAGTGGGGTCAAGACAGGCTTGCGGTGTCGCTTAATGGACTCACGCCGCAGGCTCTTACGCCTGAGGGCCCACCTTTCTTAACTGCCACTGGAAGCCGTTCGAGCGAAGCTGGTGCCGACGGATGTCCGTTAGAATGTCGTTCCGAGGCCTCACGGCCAGTTTCACGGTCTGTCTTCCTGTTCCGGCGACTGTCTACAGGATCAGATGCGGCTACTGAGGCCACAGAGATAGAACAGAATGTGGCATGGCAGCCACACTGTCGGCCTCCTCCAGCGGCGCCGCCCGACCCGGGCTTGACCAAGAGGTGCACACCGCGTTGATTGCAAAAATGTAGGCCAGTAGATGGATTTGGCAGCGAGGTGGTCGCTGTCAGCACCTGTTCTGGATGGAGAAGCGTCAAGGATGCTCTGCGCGTGACAAATTGTTTTTGCGTCATCCGCTGCAATCTCTGCCGCCTCTATCGGAATCAGTTACACAGCTCGATAATGCAGTTGTGGAGCTCTTCGGCTCTGTTGACGGCAATTCCTTAATAATTACATAAGGGCTTTGTGCAATTCCAGGTAGAAAAAGCAGGAATCCTAAAGCAAACCGCTTTAATCGAAATGAAATGAATCAGACCCGCATCGTGCATAAGTGATGTTGATGTGACTGGAATATCAAAGCTAGGAAACCGTTCAATTGTGACCCTTCATCGTGCAAACACATTGCTGTCAACGCTGCGGAAGTCTTAAGAGCTTCTATGCAAGTTTCCTCCAGCTGAATAAATCATACTTCTGTCCTGCAAAAAAGTTTGCCGTACGAGAGCGAGCTGGACTTTGACCAAGCGTTGGTCGAAAGCCGAAAACCGGCAGTAAAGTGTTCTCCGAACATGAATAAGACATAATGGCCGTTATAATCCATGCCGCAGCCAGGAGAGGCCTCGATCACTCCACCACAACTGGGTAGACCGGGCAGCACTTGACGCCCTTGTCGCCTGAGCTGAACAGCCCAACGATGCACCGACCTGCGGCAGGCCAGAAGTCGCGAAATGGAAAAGGCGGTTCACAGCTTGTTGCCACATCTGGGACTAACTGCCTATGGCCAGAACTCGCAAGACCAGCAGCACGTGGTGGATATCTGGAGCCTGGGGCAATCGTCTGAGGAGCCGACATCTCGCCAACTCACACTCTCCCCTAGTCACATGGAACCGCTTTCTTCCACACCAGCCCTTGCAGCCCAGGGCCCACGCTCCATCCTTGCGGCCATCGTTCCGCTGCAACAATGTTGCCTTTCTCCTTAAAACGTAGCTTTTACCGGCAATACGACACACCCACACGCGCCACACTCTCTGCCTAGTTTCAGCGGTATGCTGCCTTGTACCGCATCCACAACCCCACAGAGAGAGATCGATGAGGCCAGCGCACCCCTTGGCCCACATTCCCAGTCCGCGCCCTCCGGCCGGCAGCTTGTTCTCTCACCTTGCGGCCCTTGGCAGAGCTCATCTAGGCTGGCGCCACCGCGCAGTGTGAGGCAAATACGAGGGTTGACTGAATCAATGTAGTCCGTAGTCCATTTCAACTTGCTGAAAACCAGTTCGTCCCGAAAGGGACTCTCTCGGCTGCCCTTGCTCACCCAAGAGCCTTAGTCATGACCAAGATGAGGATGATGAGTCGCGGCAACGACGGGGAAAGATAAGGGCACAGGAAATTGTGTTAATGGAAACTGCAGAACTCGTATGATGCAGAGCTGAAAAGCAGTCACCGGATTCGTGGCTCGATTGGCCAGCTGCAGCGGGGGGGGGTCCGAAGGAAGTCACAAGTCCGAAGGCGGCCACTTCGCATGTAAGAAAGGCGCGGCATATGGAGTGGGAATTCCGGGAGGAGAGCTTCCGGATATGCGAATATACGATAATATCCTAAGGGGTATTGGGGCCTGGGGCTGTCTGTTTAGCAGGCAGAAATAAAACTGCCTTAGGCCGTTGCGATGCCAAAATCGATGCCGTCGACGCGGATGGGTGTGCTGGTGGACATGATGCGCACGAAGATTAAACCTTACCGTGCAAGACGCGCTCGTTGAGTTCGGTGCGAAGGGTCATCCGGGAGATGTTGCTGCGACTGCTGTGGGAGGCCCAGATGTGAAGACGCTCCAGGGAGGTGGCCGCGCCGCAGGGCACCTGCGCCGCAGCAGGACAGCAAAGGCCGACGGGGCGCAGCATGAATCAGTAGATGATTGGGTGAGTGCGTAGATGATTGGGTGAGGGTGATGAGGTAAGGCGGAAGTCAGTGTGCGGGCTCCCCCGTTTCTTGGGTAGGTAGCGGTAAGCACCTTGACACCGGACTCCTCTTTTACTTGAAGGTCCGGATCTTGCGCTCCACACATTCGGAGAAATGGTGGAGTAGGGAGCCAGGTTTTGTAGAGTTTGTTCATCAACAACAGCGCAGACGTTTGCAAACACCTCCCCGCCCTGGCCATCTGAAAGTCTGCTGTTGCCGCGGCTATTCCGAATTCCCAACCCCTCCTCAAAGAGCCATCTGTTGAGTGTCTAAATAATATTGAGTGTCTATGGGTTGTCATATCTCACCCACGCGAACGTCACTTCATTCGACTGGAAAAAACGACTGGATAGTCCATCCCCTGACTGCACGGTGTCGTAAGGAACAAGGACATACATTTGCTGCCGCAGGTGCGGCCGTGTAGAAGCTGAAGCACCAGGTTGAAGAAGGCGTATCTCGGTTGGCTTCCAGATGGATGCGGAGGGCAGTGGAGTCTGGCTTCTGGGCGCAGTTGCTCAAGGAAGGGAAAAGCGGCGCGGCGCGAGCAGCAGGAGTCCGCGTGCGAGGGATGGCTTTGGAGGGCTTGACGACGGACCTCTGTGATCTGGGAACGACATGTAGCCGGGCTTCTGCGGTCTGCCTGCGCACACGGGGACGCGGATGTTGCAACGCGGGTGTTGCATACGCTTTGAAAAGCGCAAAACGACATGATAAATATGGAATGATTCACATTTGTCCAGCTTTTGCACCTGGATTAAGTGATTTTGGCTGGCTTTCGTTGGTATCGCACTGCTTCATGCAAGAATTTGACAGCTTCACGGAATGCCCCGGGTAACCCTAAGGTAGGAAATACAATCGATGCAGAGAACCTAAAATGTATTTTTTTTAAAATTCTCGATCTCAGTGCGCAGCAAGACTTACCCGGCAAACGTTGTCAAAGATAGGGCAAGCAGAGCCAAGTGCAAAGATGCTTTGGAGCTGCTCATGTTCGAGAGTTCCTTCCAGGTCGTAAACAGGCGTTCATCTGCAAAAATGCTAGTGACTTGACTTTGGTCACATTCCCCTAAATTTGAATCTGATGGCGTACCGCCAGGTTCGGCCGTAGACGTACCGCCTGCTATGTGCGCCTGCGGCGTGCACGGTGTGGAAATCGGCGTTTCATGCGCAGCGCAACAAATGGTGGAATCTGGTGGGCGGATACATAAGGGCCTTTTGAGCGGATTTTGCATCCATAAGGAGCTGCAAATTGTGCCTTTACATCCAGCTGTCGAGTGCTGTGGAGGGCTGTCGTTACCTGATGACCGCTCCTGCTTTCACAAGCTTCTGGATATACTAAGGTTAACACAACTTTAAACGATATAATGTGTTTCTTTTGTCCTTTGATAAAACCTGCTTGGCATCCAACAAACGCCGGCCGTCTGAACTGCAAAACTACTTGATTGTCCACGCCGCCCGCGCCCTAAAGCTGCACAGAAATCTTTTGTCAAGCAACTTTTGTATTCATAAATATTTATTGAAAACGAAATGGTCTGACAGCCTAATGTTTCCATTGCTCGTGAAATTGGAGAAGCCGTGATAACCTGTCTGTTGACCATGTCTGTTTCCGCTGCTACCAGCTGGGCATTCATCTTATCTCTACTGTAGAACGGATGCTTATGTCCCTTAGGTACTTCGGTTTCATCCCGTTTGTTTAGTAAAGTGTCCGTAAGTGCAGCCCCGCCGACTTGTGAAGCATTTTGTAGTCTGCCCCTGTTAGCTTGTACCTTATTCAAGTTGCAAAATATAGAATACGCATCATGTCTACGCGGACCCGGATAGAAACGTTAGGAGGGCACTTGCCGATCTACGTACTAATTGCGTTCGCGTCATTGACGGTCAAACTCGAGGTAAGTATTATAGCTGACACGATGTGTGTGCTGTCCACGTAAGGACCAGGCGTCCTCTGGCTATTGTCCATGGAGTCGTCCTCGTCATTGATTATGTGTATAAACTCTATTGTAGGGCAACTTATATATTTTTTATGTTCTCCTAATACAACTCTGGACCTAAGGATTAGACTGGGCGTTTAAATAAAGGGGCCTTCGGCGGTTGTGTCAGTCAGGGCAATGATCGTGACGGTCATGTGTACACAGAAGTTGATCTTGGACCGAGATAGGATAGAACCGAGCCTGTAGCTCCCAATGGCTGCTGCGGCACAACGGTCCGTGTCGTAGTCTATACATGGTCGGCTTCACATCCGATCGACCGATTGGGCAAACCATCCCCAATTGCAACTGGAATTGCGCCATACTCTCGTCCGCTCTCTGGCGAGCATCATCCAAATGCCTAGCGGCTTTCTAAGTACCGCTGGGCGCTGCATCCTCTCTCAGCTGCCACCGCCGCAGCGGCGTAGCAACAGCAGCTCTGTAACAGTCTTCCCATACTCCTACACATCCGGCTAAGCCTCATGCGGCTCCCACCATCCCAGACATCTACACGGGTCCCCCGTTCACCTCAATCCCTTGCGTGTCACCTACAACCTCCCACACAACCTGACTACACCGCTGGACTGTCGCGACATATGGCTGTAGCATCGACAAAACATGTGCCTACGGCTAAGACTCTGTAAAGTTAGTCATCCCGCCAGTTCCTGCCCGTGGCTCGCATGTTTATCGCGTATCATGTAGTACACGCGGGCACTAACGCATATCCACACACTCAGTTCCCTCATACATACATACATACATACATACATACATACATACATACATACATACATACATACATACATACATACATACATACATACATACATACATACATACAGTTGTGACTACACCCACTTCTACAGAGCTCCCTGCGTCGGGGCCTCCCGCCTAGACCGCATCTATGTAGACCATGGCACCATGCCGTACATTGCTAAGACGGAGATTGCCGTGCAAACACCGTCGGATCACAAGCCAATGGTCATGCACCTGCTGCCATGCCGACCAGAGAGCAAGGGCCCAGGGAATCGACGAGTGCGTCTGGCCTTCACATCACACCAGGACCTCGCCGCAAGCATGGAGGCATGGATCACCAGCCAGTGTGCCACAGCACCATCTGCGGAGGACAACCCTTTGGGCCTGATTGCGTGGTGGCCAGCTTTTAAACGCCGGCTGAGCACCCTGGCCCTTCAGCTCAACAAGGCGGCACAACACCGCAAGCTCAGACCAGGGGCCCGGGCTCGGGAGGTGTTACCGCAGGTCCAGCTGGCAAGGCAAGCGGTGGATGCAGCCCCCACAGCACAACAGCCACTTCAACAACTGGTCGAAGCCCAGGCAACACTCGCACGAGCACATCGGGAAGACTGCCGGAAGGATGCCATGGAGGCCCGCACCCACTGGCTGCGGGCAGGGGAGAGGCCAAGCCCTTCCCTTACAGCCTTCCTCCAGGCCCAGGCTGTAGACCAACAACCAGCCCCTGTCGCCATGCAAGCCTCGTCCGGCCGACTTGTTACCAACCCCGCTCAGCTGCCCCAGGTGGTAGCCGACTTCTGGAAGGATGTGAGCAAGGCCCCGGACTTCATCTGCCCCCAGGCCCGCCAAGCCGTACTGAACTCCCTCACCGCAGCCAACATTAAGCTCCCGGCAGAGGCAGATGAACAGCTTGGAGCCAAAAAGATCACAGCCACCGAACTGCGGAAGGCACTCAAGAAGAGCGCACCTGGCAAGGCCCCAGGGTGGGATGGGATCCCGGCCGACATCTACAGGAAATTCTGGTCAGCCATAGGTAATACCATGGCAGGCCTGTTCACTGCCATTGGCATGACCGGGCAGGTGCCCGCAGGCTTCCTTGAAGGGATCATCACAGTGCTCTATAAAAAAGGCGACCCCAAGCTCCCAGGCAACTACCGCCCCATCACACTACTATGCTCGGACTACCGGCTCCTTGCTAAGGTACTGGCGAACCGCCTGGGCCCCGCCCTGGGACGGGTCATCACCCCCGAGCAATCCGCCTTCCTCCCCAAGCGCCTGATTGGGGCCAGCGTACTCTTCCTGCGCCACCTGTCACACCTCCTCCGCAAGCAGAACCGCCAAGGGCTTTTGGCATTCCTGGACTTTGCCAAAGCATACGATACAGTGGATCGCGGCTTTCTCCTAGCGGCCATGGAGGCGATGGGGGCAGGGCCACAGCTGTGTGCGTGGGTACGTCTGCTTCTGAGCGAAACCCGAGCCCGGGCGATGGTCAACGGGTACAAGTCCAGGCTGGTAGACATGGAGGCTGGTGTCCGGCAGGGCTGCCCCCTGGCGCCTCTGCTGTACCTCTTCGTCGCCCAAGCTCTGCAATGCTGGCTCCGGAGCCAGGAGGTGGGAATTAAGCTGCAACCGTCCGACCCAAATCCCGTCACCGCCTGCCAATATGCAGATGACACGGAAGTGACGTTGGATGGCGCGGAATCAGTTCCCTCCTTCCTACAGGCCATGGAAACATTTGCCCAGGCATCTGGCCAGCGACTTAATCTGGAGAAAGTGGAACTGCTATGGATTGGCCAGCAGCGACAGCAACAGCAGCAGCCGGCACCAGCAGCAGGACCCCAGCTAACAGCCCCCCAGCAGG